TGCTGCGCCTCGAGAGGAAGGCGCTGAGCAGGATATTCCCCAGGACCCAGGCAGCGTTGCGTCTGCAGCTCCCGATCAGGAAACTATGGTACGTATCATAGCCGAGCAGACGGGACTCAAGCGCGAGGAGGGCGACAACGAGGCTACCTTGCAGAAGCAGGCTCGCCGTCTTCGCGAGGAGAACGTATGCCATGGCGGTACTGAGGATACCGACAACGTCAAGATAGAGTACAAAGGACTGCCAGGGGAAAGGTTGTCTCGGATCGAGATCGAGGGTTTAAGCAGATCGATCGCTTCCAGACCAAACACCGAGATCAATCGTGAGGCGATCAATCAGATCGGTCAGAGCCTCGCTCGCGGTCAGGACACCCGCTGGGGATCCCGCGATCACCTGACTTCGGCAGGGGCCCCCGAGACGATCTTGCATCCCATACCGCTCTGCAACAATTGCGGTCGAGATCTGTCCCTCGGGATCGTCACAGGTGACGGCACACTCTGTGATATATGTTGGCAATACACTGTGGCCGTAGGCGCCACAGGTAAGAGCACCGCCACACAGAGTGACCTCGCGTACCTCCAGAAGTTGACGAACTGGATCAAGACGACGTTGTCCGAGGACCAGGTCGCGAGATACATGAAGGATGGCGCACATGTCATTATGACGGGTGCGCGATCCCCCATAGGCACAGAGAAAGATCAGTTGCGGAGATTGGCCAATACGTCCAAAAAGAGGTATCAGAAGTGGGTCGAAGCCGGTAGCCCGCCTGCACACGAATGCAGATTAATGGGCGAATCCGAGGACGACCGACCTCTGTACTACCCATTCGCCAATCTCATACAACGCTTTCTCAACGACCTCAGATTCCATCATCAGATGACAGGAGCCCGCGTGAATGTCGGCAAGAAGCCCTGGAGCGTCGAGGACATGCGCGACGCGTGGGACATCCTTGACGTCAGTATTAGGACAGGACAGGCTGGTCGGAGAAAGTGGTGGCTGAACGATGGACGCATTGACAGGCAGACGCGGCAGGCGCGCGGACTGATTGCGGTTTCTCTCTTTCGAAGGGACGGAACCCGTGAACAGTTCACCCAGCGCAAGCTTGCCGCGATTGCCAACGAGCTGATAGGCTCCCTCGATCCGTCACACACTGACCAGAGGGGGGGTAGTACAGGGATGAGAACCGATCCAGATACACACTCCCAACAGTCCGATGACGCCATGGAGCCGCGGCCGCCGCCGCGCCCGCCGCCGCGCCCTGCTCCTGGCGACGCCGCTGCATCCAGCGCCCCAGGCGCGGAGGACTACATGCCCGCGATGCCGCGCGCCAAGAGAGCACGTACATCTGATTACGCTGCTTGCTGGCGCCACAATCTCGATGACAGCGATTGGGGTCTTCGATACTGGAGTTACTACATCAAATGTTGGATCTACATTGCGATCAACAACGACGAGTATGTGTACATCCAGGATATCACGTACAACGATTGGTTCCGCAACTGGATCCCGAGGACAACTTGGGAAACGTTTACGACAAGTCACGCGACGTACAACGGCCAGAGGGCGTGGGACCGCAGGTTCTACAAGGACGGCGGCGCGTAGTGTGTCGGCCGCAAGGCCCACTGCTCAAGAGCAGAACTTCCGTTCATCAAAGTTCGCCTTGAGCGGTGGCTAATACATTCTTTTAGGCCACTTCAATCTTTCACACAAGTGGCCATACACACATATAGATATCTTTTGCGATCACCGAGGCAGCCTCCTAAGGAGCAACGCCAACGGGAGTCGCCAAACAGATTGTTATACATCATTTTCGTGTTCATCAACACGACATTTTCTCCTGGCCAGGTACTTGCTTTAACGCAGATTTGCATTTCTTTCAGGATCGCGTTCGTCAACACGATCTTGGCAAACATTTGATTTTAGGCAGACTTGTGTTTGATTTCAAGATTGTGTTCGTCAACACGATCTTAGCATGCATATTTTAACAATTTAACAATATTGCGTCGAGAATAATCTGCTAGCTGGTGGCAACACCTGCCTCGCAAATCTTGCGAGGCAGTTTACATGTTGCCTTGGTGCTCAGATCTTCTTTCTCCGCCTACCTTTGTCTCATTCTTCTCCTCCCTCGAGTGCCGAAGCGTTTTGGGGGGGCGCACCGAGGGGGCGGCAAAATGCGCCTGGTGAAGAAAAAGAGACCCAAGGTATCTCTTCTTACCTCAACTTGCAACTGGGCTCCGCTGACTTTTAGCCCAGCTGCCTTTCAGACTTAAGGTAAAGGAGTTCAGAGGTTACGGATTCCATCCTGCTGATCCCGAGTCCTGCCTTCACGGGCGGGATTCGGGACGGGGGGTGTGTATGGAACCCGTGTAATACCCTCATATATACTCCTTATCCTTACCTCTCCCGCACCTGGCCGTTTGGGCTCAGGTACTGAGTTGGAGCGATCGTACCTTGATCGCTTGGGAGGGAAAGATATCCATCTATCCCTCCAGCTCTCTACCAACGGATCAGGGGTTCTGTACTCTTGTACTTCAACCCCATACACAGGAGGAAATGGATTAAGAAGAAGGAGGAATATGAGTCAAGCTAGCCATGTCGAGCCAGTCAGAGAGCCCCGCCTACTCCAATTAATACCCCCTCCCACAACATAAGAAGACATTATGGCACAACTTGACTTTGGGATTGGAGCGCGCTCCCACCTCGCAAACTCAAGGCGCTCGCGCACGGTCCTATTACAGACGACTTGGCCAAGAGAGAACTACGCGCAGGAGCGGGGGCGGCAGGTATGCGCCGCGCTGACACAGCATTGCCACTCTAACTCGCGAGCTGCACGGCGTCTGGGGGAGGTCGACATTTCGCCCGCTCTCGCGCGGCCCCGCTGCCGTCGTCGCTTCCGCGCGCTTCGGCGAACGAGCCATGCGCCGCGCCCGCGCTGGAACGCCACTTCCCGCCCAACTGCGCACGGGACCTGGGCAAGGGCACCACGTCGCCGACTCGCACGGGACCCCAGCACAGTGGCGGGTGGCGGATACGCGCCGTGTCGGGGCGGGAGAACGCCACTCCCAGGCTGCAGCCGCGCGGCGCCGGGGCGAACGCGACGGGCTCGCCCGCCCGCGCGTCGACGAACGTGCGTGCGAGAAGTGTGCGCCGCGCCGTGGCGGGAGCCCAGGATCCCGGAAACGCGAGCGCGGCGCCGGGACGAGAGAGGCACTTCGGCCTTTCGCGCGGGAGGCGCGCCCCGTCGCGCTCTTGCCGCGCATGTTGCAACACGGGCGGCGCAAGGTGACCAGGCTGGGGCGAAGACGTCGGTCTTGACCAGTCGGATCGGGCCCCCCGGCTTGGGCGGGGCGACCGGCCGGCAGAGGCCCAGACTGCAGGCTTTATAGCCGCAAGGGGAAAGGGTAGGAAGCAAATTGGCCAGTTCGAACGAGTCAGAAGGCGCCGCCTCCCCCCCCACAGCATCATAAGCACTTGTTCGGGTATAGCCAGGATCTCAGGCAAGGGGACCCGGCTGGTAGGCCAGAATCGCCGAACCAGGTCTGCCCGAGCGGGTGTTTTTTCGGGTGACGCCAGTTCCGGTTGGTTTGAACGGGGCGGGGTGGGCATCCCCCAGTACACTTCTTTTACAAGCGCAGGCGGAGCCCCGTGGCACGAGACGACAGGCGAACGACGCACGAAGACGGGGACGACGCGGGAGGCGCAGGGGCGAGGGAGGGAGCAGGGGAAGGGGGGGCATCCCCCAGCACGCGTCGCTAAACCAGGCCCCGCGAGGCCCAGCTCTGCCAACGCCCCACTCGGAGCACAGCTTGGCATGCGGCTCCGCACTCGCGGGCGGCAGGCCTCCGCGCGCGGCCCGGCCTCCGACGGCCCGACGGCAAAGGGGGACGAGCTGCGCGGGCCGCATCGTTGTTGCCATTTTGCTGCGTTCTGTGGGTATATTTAATGATTCTTCGCCCAGAATCCGCCTCCACGGGGACATGCCCGACCCAGCACCGGCAAGCTGCGCGGCGCTCCGGCGACGCCAGCGTTTCGCCCGCTCTCGCGCGGCCCCGCCGCCGCTGTCGTTTCGCGCTGCCCCCGGCGGGCGAGCCGCCGTGCGCCGCGCCCGCGCGGAGACGCCACTCCCGAGCGACGCGCGCACCGAATTGGGGCGGAGGCGACACGTCGACCACGTCGAGCTATTCTCAAGCCGGGCCTGTTCCTCTACAGGGGAAATGTTCTGAAAGAGTCAAAAACATCATCAGGGGACGATGTTGTGTGTGTGTGTTTTTACTATTTGTGCCCATTTGGGAGCCTTTTTTTAAGGTGTTGTCAATTTGCGCGCGCCCACAACCCCCCTGTAGGGGACACGCCCGAGCTACAGCTATTCGACGAGCGAAAGAAAAGGATGCGCAGCGCGTTGGGGCGCGAACGCTGGTTTCAGGCGATGCCCGCGCGGCGTCAAGGCGAGAGCGACACTTTCGCGCCCGCCCGAGCGTCGACGGACATTCGCGCGACGAGCGCGCGCCGCGCCCGAGCGGGCGCCACAGCGAGAGCGACAGTTCCGCCTGCCGCGCGGGATGCGCTGTCCGCCCCACTCTTGCCACGCAGTTGCAGCATGGACGGCAGGCTGTCCATGTTGAGGCGAACATCGTTGAAGTTGTGTATTGTCTGCCGTGCGCAGTATGGCGGTGCTGGACTGGGCTCCGTATCGGCAGGCTGCGGTGGAGAGTTCCTGCATATGTGTGTGTATATATATCGTCACAGGGTATCAGGATTGGGGGCGGAAGAGGAGGACGAGGAGGAGTAGGATAAGGGACGCATGCAGATGAGAAAGGAGAAAGGCCGAGGAGGAGGAAAGATAGGAAGGAGGGTGGGGCCGGGGGGGGGGATGAGGAGGGAGCATCGACGACGACAAAGGTCGAGGAAGGAGGGGATGGGAGAGGGATGGAGGGAGCAAGGAAGGCAGGAGGCGGAAGGGTGGCGAGCGAGCGCGCACTGCAGAGATAGACTACTTGCCGAGGCCGTGCGGCTGGTGAAGGGTTCGCACAAAGGCCCCGCCTCCGCCCGGGGCGCTGGCGCCCGTCTCGTCGGCTCCTCCCTTCTCCCCCTCCTCCCATCCTCCTGCACTATTTCGCCGTCCTCCTCTTCCCCCCCCCCCCCCTCCCCTCCTCTTCCTCATCCTGCCCTCCTCCGCGCCTCCTCCTCTTCCTCCCCCCTCTCCCCTCCTCTTCCTCATCCTCCACTCCTCCCCGCCGCCTAGGGGCAACGTCGGGGGGTGGGACCGGCCCAATGGGCTATTGGGGCTTGGCCCCCAAACCCGCCCAGGAGCTTGCTGACTTGTTAGCAGGGGCCTATCGCTGATCCATCGGCGATATATCGCCGATCCCGAATAGGTTTTTCCTTCCATATGCCAGTTCCCCCCTTTCGATACCCTTGACTGTTTTCCTCCTCCTGAACTCTCGTGTGCTTTTCCTACATGGTACCAGAGCTGCGCGTAGTAGTCTTTAGGTCTGCGTGTCAAGTTAGTAAGTTATCTACGTCAGGTGGCTGTCAGAGGCCCAGAACTGTTCAACATCTTCATTCGTGAAGCGAGTGTGTAATGGTGGAATCCGCCGTCGCCTTCGCCATCTCCTCCTCCTCCTCTTCCTCCTCGTCGTCATTATTCCTGATCCTCTTCCTCTGCTTACATATCATCCTCCATCTTCCACCTCCTGTTTATTCATCTCCGCCATCCTTTTCCATGTTTATTCCTCGAACTCCGCTGCCCTCAACCTCAGTCATCGTATCCCGCATCTTCTTCGCACTGTGTCGCTGCTTTTCACGTGCCACACCTTATTCTCATGACGACGACATTCCAAATCTCATCATCCCAGGAAGGGTGGTCTGTGATGTATAGCTATTTCCCCCAATCAGCGCTTGCACTGAAGGGGTCCTAGCGGAAGTTGAAAGATTTGGCGAAAGTTCCCCGCCGATTTTGGTAGCAGGCTGGGTTCCCGGGTTCCCGGTTCCAGGTTCCCGTTTTCACGGTTATTGGTTACAGGCCGATTTCGGTGGGTGTTGGGTTCCCGGGCTCCCGGGCTCCCGGTCGATCTCCTCATTGAAAACCATCCTTTGATTGGGATTTGTCTTGGATGTAATGTTCTTTAGAGCCAGTGTTCTTTTGGTTCCTGGACAGTGTCTGAGGACGTGTCCAAGAGCTTGCGCGCAGATGTCGAAGGCATCCCAGCGGGTCTCATGCTTGGTTCTCCAGTGTGTCGCAGAGGCTTGGTAGCAACGCACATTGGTTCTGGAATCTTGCCAGTATCGCACCAACTTGGGGAAACGATCGTGAGAAGACGGGGCTCGCAAAATCCAGCGCTCTGCAAGGTGCCCACGCCGTGATGCGCCACGTGGACATCGAGGCATTCTCTGTCTCCGTGGAGCTGGAGGCGAGGAGGAGGAGGAGGAGGAAGAGGAGGAGGAGGAGGAAGAGAAGGAGGAGGAGGAGGAGGAGGAGGAGGGACAGCGCGGGGGATTGATGAAAGGATCAGCTCACGACCAATTTCTCGAATGGTCTCGGTCGCATGCAGATCCGATCTCTCCTCCCTAGCCCGCCGAGCTGATCCGCAGAATAATCTCGTGATCGAAAGCGTTGCACTTGACGGGGGGGGCTCGCCAAGGACGGCACCCGCATGGAGGGCCTCGGGTACGACGAGGTGTGCAAGGTGGCCGAGTGATATGTTCAGGCCACTCCCGGTTGGCAGGATTGACACTGAGGTGCCAGGGAGTCTGAGTCGGCGGTCCCAGGTGGAGGTCCCCACGCGGAGCCCCCTGCCCAACAGAGACACCAGGGGCCAAGGACGGTGGAGGGACGGGACGAACGAGCAGGGGGCACGAGGACACGATTCGAACATACCTACAAGACCACCCTTCTTGTGATAAAGAGGTTCCTGGGGGGGGGAATAGGTGCAGCTTTCGGTTTGCGATTGGCGTTCGGTCCACGATCTCGACACCTATGTATGAATTTCTCTACGACGGGACAGTTGCTGGCGACCACGAGACAGCCACAAGCTCAGCACGGGACAACCACGGGACAACCCACGGCACGCCCTGGTTTAGCGCGATTTTTTTTGGCCCGACCTGGGCCTAGCAAGTGCAGGAAGTCGCGAGCTCCGCTTCGCCCGCACACTCGACACGAAGAGAAGCCGAAACCGACTTCTCGGTGGGGTGACTCTGGTTCGCTTCGGTCTCACACCCGGACTTCCCTTCTGGCAGCCTTTGGCCTATCCCATCGATGTGCTTAAACAGTAGACAGGAGGTCACTTAGAAGCCTCTTGGGGTCTCTTGGGGGGCATCTGGAGGGCATCTTGAAAGCCCCTTGGGGGGCCTCTTGGGGCCCTCTTAAGGGCCTCCTGCTGTTTCGGTGGGCCTCTCGGGGGCCTCTTGGTCCAGCTGGCGACCTCTCGGGGGTCATCTTGGCGGCTCCAGGCAGGGCCCTGGGACCAGCTAGTGCAAGGTTGGGCGTGCGGTTTCCCGGCCGCGCCCCCGTGGTCTCCAACCAAGAGGAGTCCCGCGAGGCGCTCCCAGAAGCGCCCCCCCTGGAGAGCGCCGGAGATCCCGGGCTCTGGGCTTCGCAGAGGGCGCGCTCCATATTAGATGTAGAGAGCTCGAGAGAGCATGATGCCGCTCCACTCCGTGCCCGCGTCACGGTGGCAGTCTTTATTTGGGGTTTCAGGAGACGGGAAACATAGAGTTGAGTGGGGCCTGTCCCTCTACAGGACGAATATTCAAAGATAACAAAAGAATTGTCAGGGGATGTGTCTGTTTTTTGTATTATTTTTTTCAAAATGGTGGAGCATGTTGGGGATATTTTGTTATTTTTCCCCCGACCTAAGCATGGCGAGAGGAACGGGCTCCGGGCACCAGCCCCGCCGGCCTACAGACACATCTGGTTCGGGTGTTGCTAGAAGTGCCCCTGGCCCAAGGTGCCCCCAGCTTTTCGCTCCATTTTCGATTCCCCTGGGGCCCTCTGGGCCTCGTGAGGGGTGCTCTGGAGGCCGCCTGGGCCCCCCCGAGAATCCTGGGGGCACCTTGGGCCAGGGGCACTTCTAGCAACACCCGACTGGTGAGGTCGATTGAAAGGTGTCGGACCCTTGGGCGCCCCAGAAGGGTTCCAGCGACCTTCCGGAGACGCTCTGGAGATGAGCCACCCCCGCGGGTCTACTCGGAGTAGGGTGCCGTGCGCACGTGGAGTGCCCCTGGCAGCTTTCACTGGAGGGCGTTCTGCGAAAGGGTGTTCTTCCAATCCTCGGAGAGTCTCCAGAAGGGCTTTTGTCAGGAGGGAAAAAACACACACACACAGACACAATTATCGTCGACTCCCCAGAAAATATAAGAAAATATGGGAAGTGGGGGGGAAGGCAGAAACCCAGAAAATATAGGAAAATGTGGGGAATCCTTTATTTGTGTGTATTTATTTGTGTGTGTGTGTGTGTGTGTGTCCTGGGGCCCCTTCATTTTGAGAGGTGTCGGGCCCTCGGACGAGTGGGAGGATGCCGCACCAGAAGGTCTTTTGAAATGTGTCGGACCCTAGGAAGTGTTCCACCAGGTTCGCTTCGTCGAACGCTTTCGGGTGGCGCTGGGATTGTCCCACATGGTACCCTTTTGAAAGGGTCGTTGCCGAGCTATCGTCAAGGAGGGGGTTGCAAGGCGGGAGCGTCGCGGTCAGAGGCGTGTCCCAGGGGCCAAGGAGAATGGCGGCGTTGACCCTGTCGCCGCCGGCGAGGCGCCTTGCTAGTCGTGATCACTGCGCTGACTTCCTCATGCAAGGGCGTTCCGCGTATGCATCGGCACCGCGATCGGCGTCGCATGAGGGAGGCTGTGCCGCAGACCCGCTGAGTCGGCGAGATGCGAAGACACATAGCCACCAGGACCCCGGGTTGTTCGCGTCTCGAAGGAAAATGGTGTTTCATCTTCTATCGACGCCATCATCCTCCTTCGCGTTGGGCGACGACAGATGTGTGATCTAGCTCGATGTCAACCTTGCGATGTTACTCCTATGGCTCGTCCTCTAGCCTTCCCAGGGCCAGAGGTGGCGATGGTGGTGGGTCTTCGTTGGCTGAGTGTCCAGGGTTACGCCCGACTGAGGGGTCGAGGAGATCAGCTGCTTGATCGTGAAGGCGGGAAGACCAGGAAGAGGAGGCAGAGGAGGCAGAGGATGAAGAAGAAGAAGAAGAAGAGGAGACGGCGGACCTTGGGATGCAAGATCCTGGTGTGTCAGGCCTGTTTCCCTCCAGCGGAATCAACAGCCGCTAATTCCGCAAAGTTGGCGTCAACGTCAGATCGATATCACGCCGAAGTGTGGCCAGCCGAGGCAGTGACTGCACCAGGGCTGCATTGAAGTTATGGGAGAGATCTGCTCGCCAGCACAGTCCCCTGTCAACCAATCCTGCCTCCTTCTACCCCTCCTGCTCCTCACCAGCGGCAGCCTGATTCAAAGGGTTTTGTCACATCAGCATTACCTGAGCGCGTCTCATTTGCGAGCCCATCCTTGGACCTTTCGGGGCGTCTTTGGGCGCGATGGTTCTCGGTAGAACCGTCTAGTGGCCGTCTGGTCGGTTTTCAGGCTAGATTGCAAGCATATTGGGGCAACCCTGGGGCGTCCCAGAAGCAACGCAGAACGATAAATACTGCTTCTTCAATTTTTCGCTGCTGGAGGGTTGATTCGGTGCCTCTTGGGGGCTTTCTGGGGAGTCTGCCTGTTCGGACTGGGTCGATTGTTGTGTGGCCATTCGCCAGATACACAAGCGCATGGGGGTGGGAACGACCCTTGTTGGTTTGGCCTGACCAGGACATTGTCTGGATCATGCCGCCAAGGAGATGGTATGCGATTGCGACAGTGGCGACGGCAGCGAGGGCGGCGCCGACGATGTTGGCGATGATGACGTGGGTACAGGGTGATGGCGATTGCGGCGGAATTCGTGGACAGGGGCGGCCAGCGATACGCGGTGGTCGACGACGATTGCGGCTGATACGGGCGAGCCGCCCCCCTCAAGTTTGAAGAATCCATGCGGGCTCGGCGGACGGAGTCGCAAGCTCCGGGCGGCGGGGGGGAGGGGCACTCCACTCACATTTATCCCGCGGTCTGGTCAGGCATGTGCTAGGGGAGAATTAAACCACGAACGGTGTCCGACACGGTTTCTACTTGATGGTTGCGAGGCTTCTCGCTGTTATTGCGGTTTTCCTATTGCGTTCCTCCCCAAGCCCGCATCAGAATCGCGGTTATCGGTCGAGGCATTCTTGCGAATCGTTTAGAATATGTTGGAGCCTTTGCGGTTTTCACAGGCCTGCGCGCTTCCCGCGGCGCAAAGGCGACTGTCCCGGCCAGCAGCCGATCATCCCCAACGACATCTGCACCGCTGCAATATCCGCAGTCATCCTCATCATCGCCATGCTGCCACCCTGCTTACAATCGTGGCAGTCACTACGGTAGGTCTCATGAATCAAAAGTCTGCATAATGTGTGCCCTTTTCTACTAAGGGCATGCCGAGGCCTGAAGGGGGGTGGGGGGGGGGGGTGAATCGCAGCTGGTTGTGGGATCTGTTCGCTGAGGAGTATCGAGCCGTCTTGGGGCAGTGTGGGAAACGCGACGGGTGCCTGGGGGCAATATTCATAACATTACGTTCATCTCCACCTGCCCGTTCAGAAACGATGCCCATCCCCCCTGAAGGAGAAGTACGGGGTATGACAAGCAGACGGCCTAAACCACCTACGCCTAGAGGGTTTGTGGGACGGCGGACGTTTTGCAGCGCTCATGCGAATAGGGGGGTGCCGCAAGTAGGAACAACGGGCCCCCGCCAGACCTTGACAGGCAGACCAGCACACCCCCAATGCTAGGTGGGAACATTTGTGGGGTCTTATGCGTCATGCGGACCTGAATGCAGCGCGTTGCCAATACGATATGAATTGTCCGACGTGCTACCAGGGATGCGGCCTTTGCTTTCCGCGCCAATGCGCCTGGCCGCGCCGAAGGACATCCGGAGCGCCCGCAAATCCTTCGACGAGCTGAGCAGCTCAACTGGCCAGATGCCCAAGGAGTCAGTGAAGGACAGCGGCCGCGGTTGCTCAACTCACCATGGTGCGAAAGTTCCCCCGTTGGTCAAATTGAAAAGTCCATCTCCGTATTAGATGGTATGTGTTCTTTCGTTGTTCCGAACCCTCCTGTGTTGTTGGGTCTTCGCTTGGAATTCGCAGCGTTGCACTACACCTTTCCCTCACCTCCTCTCCCGCCCTTGTCCGCTCGCTCATCTGGCACTTCACAGGTTTCGTGCCCCAAGGGGAGCTCCACCTACGGTGCTGTTTGTGTCCGAGCCCGTCAGTAAGCCAGCTCCAGAAAATAGTCAAATTATAAAGCGGGTTTCTCTGAGGACCTATCGCGGCTAATGTGCGATCGAGTCTGTTACGATGCTCCCCTCTCAAGTTATGAACCTCTCTAGCATGTTAAAGTGTATGTTGCACAATCCGTTATGCCATGGGACGATTTGGTATGTGTTGATGTGCCAGTATGCTACGATGTGTTATGCTATGAGGTTTACGTTGTACAGTTCTCGTCATCCTGTGTGATCATATGGCCGGGAATTGGTGTACATTCTCAATTCAGGTATACACAGTCATGCTATCGCATGTTCGTTGTTGTTTTGGTAGCAGTCGTGCAATAAGAAATGTAGTTTGGTATGGTATGTCAAGACAGCCCTCCCCAGTATGCAACACCCTATGCCGTTCGATTGCAATCGTTGCCGTCGTTGTCGTGGTAATGCAACAAGCAGGTGTTGTTATGTTAGGAGCTGGTGTGTTGCACTGTAGCGTGCGCCGGTTGATCGTGCAATGGTTGGATGTGTTACCTTACGATCAGTGGTGTTTCTGGCTGTCATATGGTATATAACGCTGCTCTGTGGTATGCCATGCTCTGCTAGGTTATCGCCTGCATGTTTCCATCGGTGTGGGCACTGCTCTGTCATGGCCCGAATTGTCATGCATTGATATGTTCATTCATTAACCCGCAGTACTACTTTGCCGTAACGAAAGTTTCCTTAGAAACACGGAAGACATCCAGACGACCCAGACAGGATGCCTTGGCGACCCCATGGCCCCATCATGGGGCACGAATATGACCTCGGGGCGACCCCAAGAAGACCCCGTGGCCCCTGCAGGATCCAAACGCAGCGTCGCAATGGCCTGGGGATGGATCCAAGATGGCTCGAGATGTGGGCGATGCCCTGGAGACCAGGCGCGGTGGCCCCAGAACGACCCCGAGGTGGCCGGAGCACCCCCAGAGTACAACAGCATGATCTTAAGGTGACCTGGCGGTGATTTCAAGACAAGACGACCCGGACACTTCATACATTGGCGGGATTGGGTTCCGCCGCAAGGTTTATCGGGACCCTTTTTTTTGTGGGCTGTATGGTTGGCTAGACTAAAACTATAGCCAAGGATCCCGCCGAGACCACGCAAGTGGGCTTTCTTGTTAGGGCTCTAGGGGGGAGGGGGGTTCAACGCATCGTGCCCCTCAACAACTCAGTCGGGGCCGTAGCCAGGAGGGATGCAGCGTAGGCGAGCACGCAATGCCACCGGGCCCACCTCAGAAGATCCAAAGAACTTTCGGAAAGGCAATGTATGTAATGGTACGTGATGCCACGCGCTGGTCTGATATGGTATGTCATGTGGTGTTCCGCGTTGTTGTGTTAACCGCGTGCGGGGGATAATAGATCATCCCTCCTTTCCCCGTTTTTTTCAAACAAAAAACAATTTTCAATAGGATTCACTTGTGGAGAGGGGCGCGGAGGCCGAACTTGATAATCCACGGGGGAAGTTACGAATCGAAGTTGCTATCATTTCATGTTGGTTAGCAACATCATCAAAAACGCTGAGCGTAGCCATGGTGGTCTCACCAGATCAGCTTCCGCAATCACGAGCGTGTGGCCGGATTGCTGGATTCTCACCAATTCAGTTTGCCCACGTCACGAACGCGCGGCAGGGCCATGGGATTATCACTCTCTCCGCCGTTCTTGATTCTGGAGCGGCAGGGGCATGGGGAAAGACTAGATTTTGATGTTACATGCGTTTTGCGAGCAGGCAGAGCACATTACTTTTTAGCGCATCTCTCACACGGTTCGTGGCCCCTCCTTCTCCTCCTCTTCCTCCTCCTCTAACCACCGCAGCTGGCTGCCCAGGCCCGAGCTTTCCCGAGTCTCCGAGACTCCGAGTTGTCGAACCTCTTCGAAGCACCGAGCCTCTTCGCCCCAGAGGCAGCGATAAGGGGGGATAGGCATAAGGGGACACATCGATCTTCGATCGCCTGTGATCGCAGAGAGTACCCGAACCTGCCCAGGAACGTGCGGATTTACGATCGGGCGCGCATCGCCGATGCATCGGCGATGTATCGCCGATTCCAGGTCGATGCTTCCCCCCCAATGCCTATCCCCCCCCGCATCGTTGCCCTTGAGTGCGTCGCGAGCCTCAGCCTTGTCCCAGGCCGCCGAGCGCGCCCAGGCGGCGACCCAGCCTGTCGCTGCCCTGCAAGGAGCCGCGAGCCCGAACTCAAACGAGATCCTCGAACGCATGGCCAAACAGAACGAGAAGATCCTCGATCCTTCATCGCGGACAAGATAGCTATCGCCGAGATGCGCCAATGCCCATCGAGCGCGCAAGGCGCTGACGCAGCAAGAATGGCGGCCTGCTTTCTCAAGGCGGAAAGCGCCTCGTGGTCAAGCAGCGCCCAGCAAGTCGTGTTTGAGACGGTCTACAACGGCGGCTCTTTCAAGAGCATCGAGTACGGGCACATCACCAACGTGAAGGACCAGAGGCGCTTCGAGCTGGCGCCGGCGTTGTTCTACAAGACCGAGTGCGAGAATGACGACCGCCTCTACGACGCCATCGAGAATCACGGAGAGCCGCCCGAGAACCTCTTCCTGTCTCATGCCGAGTTTCAAGCCACCAAACCGCACGAGCTCGACTGGCGCCGGGCCAGCTTGGCTCGCCGCGCCCAGCCCGCCAAGGAGTGCGCGATCATGAACTGCGAGCAGATCGTCAAATGGCGACGCCCTCGCCACAGCGCGGGCGCTGCTGGGCGAGATCGAGGAGCGCGCGGGCGTCCCCGAAACCGTTCTGGCGGTCGAGCCCACGGTGGCCGTCGCCCAGGCTTGAGAGGGCCAGGGCGAGGGCGAGCCCGCCGCCTGGCAGCCCGGGGGGCAGAAGCGCCGGGCCGAGAGAGTCGAGAAGGCCCAGCGCGTCCTGATCTGCGCGCGCTCCGAGGCGCCCGCGCACTACACCTACCGCAAGGCCCGCGGTTGCTACAATTGCTTCAACCCCAAGATTCCTTCAGTTCTTCGCTCCGTTTTGGAGCGAATCCTGGAGGCACCTTGGGCAGGGGGCACTTGTAGCAATGCCCGCCGAGGTCTCGTGGATCGGCGGGGGCGTGGCGGCGGAGTACCGCGACGCCCTCAAGCAGCCGCCCGAGAGCGCCAAGCAGGCCCGAAAGGGACCACATGCGGACCCACACCTACGCCCCGCGATTTCTGAAGGGGGGAGGCAGGGTTCGCTTTTCTCGTGAGCTGCCGAACGAAGTGAACCCCGCCCTCCTCTTCAAAAACCGCGGGTGGGGTTCGCATGTGGCCTGCCAGGGCCGCCGCGAGGGTCCCCCGCAAGCTCGGCGCCGTTGGCCCTGGCGAGACCCGCCGTGCGCCGAGCAACGCGATGTTCCAAGCCGACGCCTGGTCCTGCGGCCTGCGGGCGGGTCGCTGGATCGAGCGCGCCCCGCGCGAGATCCGAGGCGAGGGCTGTCAAGCGCCCATAAGCATCATCGCGGTGCGCGCCCGAGGCAACGAGTGGATCAACAAGCTCGAGGAGGCCAGCGACAAAGACTTGACCAAGGCCAAGGCCAAGGCCAAGGCCAAGGCCAAGGCCAAGCGCAAGGCCAAGCCTTGCAAGGGCCCCGCGGCGGCCGAGCCGAAGTGAGCAACCTTCGAGGAGGCAAGCGCTGCCGCCCAAGCGCGCGCCGAGTGACTCCCCTGCAAGGACGGCTCCAAAGGGTGCCGAGCCTGCGCGGGCGAGTGGTTCGAATTCCAGCGCAAGATAGGTTTATCGGCCAGACGTCTCTTGCGCTGGCAAGTTGTAGCCGCAGGCATCGAGATCTCTCGAGTCAGTATTGCGCCGGTTGCCCAGGATCACCGTCATCATGGTCGTCGTCATCATCATCATCATCATCGTCATCTCTTCTAACTAACGTCGCCTTCCCTAGGAAAGCCGTTGACAATCCCCGACGTTTTCCCGAACTGAATAGCATGGGGGTGTTATTGTCTCCCGCGCTCGGTTATGCTGTGCGACGCTACGCTATGGTTGGTATGTTATGGTACGTCCTCCATATTGTGTTATGTCATGCGGCTACATGTTATGCGATGATGTGTCCTATGTTGCTCTGCTCGGTCATGCTATATTCAATTATTATGCCTTTTGTTGCCCTTGCATGTTATGTTCTGTTTTGTTGGGTCCTGGTATGTTAGGTCAGGCTCCGCGCTGTTCGTTTAGTTTTGACATACCCACGGGGGCGAGCGTGTCGGGTATTCTCGGCGGGCCCGGGGGTCTGGCGGCCGCGGTATGCAGATTGGGCGAGTCGGGTCTGGAGAGGCGGGAATGTTGGTGACGATGGGTGGACTTGTGGATCTGGCAGCCGCGGTATGCAGTGTGGGCGGGTCGGGGTTGGAGGGGCGGGAGTCTCGGGGGCTCGTTGGACATGGCGATCTGGCTGCCGCGGTATGCAGGGGAGGGGGGGCGGTCAAAATGTTTGTTCTTAAAATCTACCGACCCCTACGTGCCGGATGGGAAACAGAGAGAGACAGAGAGATAGAGAGAGAGAGAGAGAAACAACAATAATTCAAAACAAGTAAGGAAGAGCCAGAGAGGTGTCGAGAGCTTGGCCAAGAGGGCACCGCATCTGCAGACTGCAAAAGCGTGGCACTAATGTTGGGACTTCGTGGATGTATGTAGGTGTGGGATGTGTAAGTACGAGGCCCAGATGCCAGGACTCAGTGCGGGGCACCCTGGGCCGCGAACACCTCTGGCATCTTCTGGAGCTTCCACAGGGATACCAGCGTCGTCCAGAACGGACTCTTGAGGTCAGAAGCCCGTTGAACATCGCCAAACATTTCGCCGTTTGGGCGTACTTCTCCGCAGCCGAAGCGCGTTCAGAGAACGCGTCATTTGTTGTACCCTTGGTTTGGCCAAAGTTGGCACCACAGGTTGCGCCGCATTTGGCACCATGTGTTGCGCTGTGTGTTGCGACATAAAGTTCGCCATCGCCATTGCTTGCGCAATTGGGTGTGCCATTTGTTGTGCAGCATGTTGCCGCAGAAGTTTTACCTATGGTTGTGCCGTAGGTCCTAGGTCGCGCCATTGGTGTACCGTATGCTGTGCGCTCCCTCCTAGATTGCAGGCGTTTTCATCTACTCGCGCGCGCTTGGCCCGATGTGTGGCCCCTCGTCCCCACACGACTGCGCAGGTAAGGAGTGGAGTGGGAAGCGGGGCGCCCCAGGATGCCCTTGCCAAGCAGCAGCTCTTCCCGCAGGAGAGCGTGCTCGCCGAGCTGCTGCAAGGCCTGCTGCCGCACGCGACGGGGGACGACCATATCGGGGTTAGGTTCGGGTGGTGGTCTAGGGCTCTCGGAATTCTTGGATTCTTGGAAAGAGCTCGGAATTCTTGGGATCCTTGGGATTGTTGGAAAGAGCTCGGGGACCGAGATCCGCCCACCTCGTGCAGTTTGCTCACGCACTGTTGCAAAGGGCGGTGTGGAAACTGTGTGGCTGGGCGTGGCGGGCATTGTGCATCGCAGTGGGCAGGCCTCGGAGCAAGCTGAGCGACAATGGAACCTATTCAAGGCGCGTGGGACAGAGCTTAGTGGGCCCTGGAAACGACAGGGCAGTTTTTTTACCGGTTCCGTTTTGCCGTTTTTTGCCGGTTTCGACGCCGTTTTTTTTACCGGTTCCGTCGCCGTTGTTTGACCGGTTGCGGCTCCGGTTCCAATCCTGGAGCCGTTTTTGTTGCCGTTTCCGGTCGCCGTTTTGTTGCCGTTTCCATTTTCATTGCCGTTTCCGGTCGTTGTTTTTTTGTCGTTTCCATTTTCAATGGTTTTTTGGGGGGAAACGGTAAAAAAACGGCCTTTCCGTTTCCGGGGCCCACAAAGGGACAGAGTGCGGCCATTCGGAGCAGAAGCGTGGACCGCCTCGAGAGGTCCAACGACGCGCGCAAAGTGCGCGGGTGGAATGGTGGCAAGAGCCGGGCACAGCTCCGATGCCATGGTCGCGTCGATGGTTTGGCTTGATCCGCTCCAGGAGTTGGCTGTGAGGTGGCGACGACACATGGCATAGCAGGGTGCCACTAGTTCCATTGACTCGGTCCTGGTATGTTGTAAGCATCTTTGTGGGGCCGCGGCCGGGCGTTGAGTGAGGCCGTTCTCTTGGCCAAACGCTGGTATTGTACGGAGAGCTTTTTTGTTGCCCAGTGGGGGGCCGAGGGGATGAAGTCAAAGCAGAGGGGAGACTGTGGTCCAGCAGGCGGGACTGATGCAGCCTGGAGAACTGACATGATTACCCTGTACACCTAGCGAACGGACAGTTACCATTTTTTTTTATCGGGGGCGGAATCCAAACAATCACACCCATGCATGCTGCCAAGTGGGCAACAGACTGTCGAAGTCGGGGGGGGGTGCAGTCAGGACATACGTGTTCCCTGACTTCAGACTGGCCCCATTCTTCCGCACAGCCGACGTTAATAAAGCGGCGCCCAGACATGCAAGCAGAAGTGTGCTTCACTTCGTTCATGCACATCTACGACCGATGCCGCTTCCGCCTGAACCTCGAGTTCCGTAAGCGTGGTGGTTTTACAGGCATGTCGCCCCGCCACCCTCGGGATCTTCTGGCGCTGCTTCCCTCATAGTATCGTGACCTGCATCCCTCCGATCCACTCCCCATCCCGATCCCCGATCCCCTCCTCTCTGCTCTAGTGATACGGTGCGTCTCGTGAATGCGGCAGTAGAGAAAAAATTCTGCAAAGATGACGAATTGGATCAGATGTCGTTCTCTGTTGCCTAGCTTGGCACCCAAGGGCCGCACTGAGACACACATTGTGATCGTCAGGCGTTTGCGAGATTATTGGTCGCATCCAGAGCGTTCAATCGATATCCAGCGTTTACACCGTGCTTGGATGTGAGTCAACGCGGGATTGGACAGATTGAAGGCCACGTTTTACCAGTTTGCAACATATCTTGATCCCTATGTTTTACGTCACCTCACCTCGATGCCGATCTTAAGGATTCCCTCAGTTTCTGAGGCCCTATCCCCAAGATCGTCCTCGCGTTTTGCTCGCCCATCTTAGGGATAGGGATACGTTCGAGGCCAGTTAACGTTCCTGGAGAAGTGGAGGGTCTCTGCGACCATGCTCGGGGCTTGCTCGGGGCCACCTTTCGGTGCCTCTGGCGGCCCCCGGTTGGGGTGCTCTGCAGCAGCCTCCCGGGTAATCCTCGGGGGACCCTGGGTGGCCTGCTCGGGGTCCTGCGGCCAGCTCGGTGGGAAGGAGAGGGTGGACTCCCGAGGGAGAGGGGGGGAGTCCTCCTCTTCCTCTTCCTCCTCATCCTCCTCCTCCTTCTCCTCCTCCTCCTCCTCCTCCTCCTCCTCCTGCTCCTCCTCCTCTCCCTCCTCTTCCTCCTGCTCCTCTTCCTCCTGCTCCTCCTCGCAGCAGGTGCTACCTGAAGACGGAGGGGCTTCTCAGACGCCTTCTGGCAGATGCGGCGCGTCTGGCCTCGGCGGCCGCCCAGGGACCATCTTGGGCCTGTCCTGCGGCGCTTTGGGGCGCTCCTGCAGCCAATCGGCGGCGAGCCCAGGGGGGGAAGTGAGAAGGGGCGGCCCGTCTCAAGCGGCTCGGCAGCCCCCCTGGCCTTCTGACAAGTTTTCCTCGCCGTCCCCTGGAGACACACAGAGCCTTTCAGAAGGCGCGAGGGTTTCTGAGAAGCACCCCCGCCTTCCGAGAGGGCCGTCTCCTTCTAACGCCCCCTCCCCGCTCGCCGCCGACCCGAGGCCCAAAAGGCAGAGGTGGTACAATCGTGCAGCGTGTCTGATTGATGCTTCGGCCTCTTGCCAGCCCCTCCAGGCTCCCGCACCCCGCCCAGAAGACTCCGAAGAGGGCCCCCGGAGAGGCCCATGATGGCTGCCTCGGATTGTGCCGGGGGCGTGGATTCACAGCCATGGCCCCGAAGCCTCTGGAGAGCCATGCGGGAAACGCCTGGAAGGGCCGCAGGGCTTCCGTACATCGGGGGTGCCCGCAGCCTCGAACAAGCCAGGGTTGCAGCGAGAGCGATCAGGGGCATCGGGGCGTTCGCCGTCGCGTCGGGGGCGCTGCTGCTGCATCCGTAGCCCTCTTTGCTCGAGCAACTTGGGCTCGAGCGTCGCCAGGGCTTCAGTTTCACACACATCTGGCGCTCTGGCTGTACTTTTCGTTGAGCACATCTCGAAGCGGCGACATGCCCCGCTGGTACCGCGACGTGAGGCACAGGGGTGGACGCGGATGGCCGCAAAGTGAAGCACAATAATGGTTACCTTTAGGATGGCTATGTTGCATGGAGCGGCGACGCAATGTACACGAGTTTGCGCAGACGCACGAGCGACGAGAGAGCGGGTGAGGAAGACGGCCCTTGTTTCTTCTCTTCCGACCTCCCCAGTACCAGCGCCACCGATCGCTTCTATGGGGCAGGTGGTTGGGCTGCGTTTCCAGATGGTGTGCTCGCGCGCATGGACGTCCGCTGCCTGTGAGATGTAGACGTGGTCAGCGGCACCGTCAGGCTCAGTGTTGCTCTCTATGTATGCTCTCCCACGGCTTCAGCCGAGCGGACGGGCCGCCATTATCGAACGCCGCCTCAGCGAAAATGCAGCCAAGGACGAGAGCATCTCCTAACATGCGAGCTGGAGCACTGGAGGGAATTACAATCGTGTGCAACTTTCTCGCCGATCGAACCGCGAACGCACCATGGAAGCTGCGTCTATAAGTAAAGGGGATTGTTCAACAAGGGCAGTTCTTCGACGCATATGAACCTCAGCAGCTTCCCTTTGATGTGGAGGAGTGCACTGTGTACACGAATTCGTTCCATCAGTTCGAGGAGAACGAACGAAGTGAAAGAACTTTTCTGCCCTTGCCAGGGCTCCTTAACAACAGTGCCGTGATGATCAACTGGGGTTTCATGGCCCCTGGAGTCGACGTCATCAACGATGGCAAGACTTTCGTGTTGCACCTCCGTCTTCAGCGCAAACACACTTGGGTCGTAGTCAACCACATGGCGGCGGTTGGCATGTTCACCAACTTCGCCTTATACTTTCGCGGGATCAACCCAGACGATGTAGCTAACTTGGTGACCGTGACCTTCACACTGTTGTTGACAGTGACCGCGGCAAAGCTCGTGGCTGCCGGCCAACTATTGAATCTGTCATATCTCACGGTCATCGATTGCTTTGTCGTCGAGTGCTTCGCGGTGTTGGTTGCCGTGTTCGTCGAGAATTTCGTCGTCGGCAACCTGCTCCTTGATGATTAGGGAGGCGTTACCCTGCCAGACATTCCCACGGACTCGCTTGATACCACTTGCATCCTCGGACTCGCACTTCTCTGGCTAACTTTCAACGCCATCATCGATTGGCGCATCTGCCGAAGGTTCACTGACATCCGCAGCGCGCTTGGCGAGCCCGAGAGGCAGATTCCTTTTCGTCTGCCCGCCTCAGCGTCTGCGCACAACAGTGAGAGTCAATTGCGAACGGATGTCCTGTACTCACGCCCTCCGAGCCAAGGGCTGGAAAAGAGAGAGAGAGAGAGAGAGAGAGTTGGGGAAAACAGAAGCATACGCCCGCGTGGAACGAAGAGCTCCTGGACAACCGAGTCACAGCCGACCCAACTCCGCGAGCCGAGTCGACCTTGCTTCGCTTTGTTTCCATACACCTATCACATATAGACCTTGATTGCCTGGTAAGTACCATCGTAGGTCAAGATAGCTCCTGCTAATGTCACATGTTCTGAGACATACGCGTATCTATAGTTGAATATTTACATCTATATATATATATACATATATATATATATATATATTCAGTCATGTGTGGATTGATTGCGTGGCATTTGTCGGTCATGTTCTTGAGTAGCCTGCCAGCGCATCGCGTCCCTGCAGCGCCCAAGCGGCCTGCTCCCCTGCGGATTCGGCGACGCTGACGAGAGACGCGGGCGACCGCAGTGTGTGCGCGTGTTGTTTATTGATTTTTTGCGTCGTGCTGTTGCGTCGTGTTTCCGAGTAGTGTGCCGACGCCGTGGCGCTCCGAACAAGCGCAAGAACACCACCCAACAACATTATGCACAAGAACGGTACACAAACACCACGTAGATCATGTCAGGCTTAGCTTAGGCGCGCCTTTTGTTTGTGCTGTTTCCTGTTTCGTTTAGGTCAGTTTGTGCTGTTTCCTTTTTCGTTGAGATCCGTCACATCTTGCATTATCGCGTGAAGACTGGTGCGCATGATTGTGAAGCTGTCTGGTCACGAACAGTCAGTTGTTGTAACCGATGGTGAATCCGACTGTGAGTTCAGTCCAGCCGCGAGCTTTCAATTTCTGTGAGCGATGGCGCATCTGATTGCAAATGCAGTCTGGCCGTGTGACTGTGAACCAGTCCGCGCGGATCCGCGATTTCAAAGCATCGCACCAGGCGATGGACTGAATCGGCCCGCGCCGTTTTCCAATGGAAGAAAGTGGGCAGTCGAGTCCCAGCGGACCCGCTGTGACATATAATGCTGATGGCTCTATGGCGCTATCCCTGGGGCAGACGCTAGTGCGAATGTTGCACCTGGCCCCCTGGGCCGTAAAGCTTCAGCAGCAGTGGCGCCGGCGGCATTCCACTTTTCAGGGTGCCGTTTGCACCCTGTCTTTCTCGCTGCGTCGTCCAGCAGGGCAAACAGCACATGTGTGGGCCAGTGGATATGCAGTACGGATCCGCGATGACCGAAGCACGATGGCAGCGATCCGCAAGCGTGGAGACAAACAGGCAGGGCGGCGAACGGGAGGCGGCTTGCAAAGCAGTGGTGCATGCGCGCCGACGGGCATGGAATAACAGCGGCTGAGATACTCTGACACGCTCTCCGACCGACCAGGCTCCAGGGATCCGCGCGAGCAGAGTGACAGCGCCCAACACCTCGAGAGGTCGCAGCATCGCTGTCTAGTCCCGTCGCGGTGCCCTATCTCGGCCCTCTTGGAGCTATGTTGGCGTCCCACCTGGGGGCGCTCTCGAGATCTCTTGCGGCCCTCTTGGAGTCTCTGTGGGTCATCTTGGCCTATCGCGGGGCCTCGCGGGCTCATTTTCCGAGGGGAGCATCTGGGTGGTCCTGGGGCCATCACGTGGCGGACGCAGGCCGTTTTGGGAGCCGCCTCGGGTCTCGGGTCTTCCGTGATGGAGGTCGTCCCGAGAAACATCGGGGGCGTATCTGGCCATGCGGGAACCGTTTCGGGCCTTTGAGGCCTTCTAGCCGCCGAGCCGTTCTCCTCCTCCTCCTCCTACTACTACTTCCCAGGTTCCTAGAGGGGTCTCAAGTTCAAACTGTACACCGCCAATCAGCCTTGACAAGATGCCCGTCGCTTTGCGGGGCCCACTCGTGAGAGGCTGGCCATGACCGTCCGCGTATGCGGACTTCCACACTTCTCGCCTTCGAGCGTCAAGCCTCGCCACCTCTTCTTCTCGGAGGGGGGGGCATTCCTCGAATGTACTGCTGCGCGGCACCTTTCGGGGGGAGGGGGGGGGGGCGAGTCGGCCGCCGAGTCGCTATAAAACAGTTTCTGCACCAGCGGGCTCTACAAAGAGCCAGCTTCACGGATGAAATCGCCACAGGCCTTCGGATATTCCAGGGGCTCGGGGAGAAACAATCCGAATGCCGAATCACTCTCTTACGCAGCAGTGCTAGGCCACAAAGAATGAGACGAGTCCACGGGAGACGCTCACCTTTGACCTGCACGTGCAATATCGCATGAAGCTCAATTGGGCCATGCAGCAGCAAACGTCTCAGATACACAAGTCTGGCTCTCTGCAGGAAGCAATTGATTGACGGCATGCTTATCTTCTCCCTAACTACACAATCACGATTCTCAACGTGTTGGTAACGTGATTCACCAAACATCTTACGTAGAGGACGCAGCATGGCAGTACTCATCGCGCGAATGTACTGACTGCTCGGCACAACGATGTGAGCGTTGAAGAACAAGCGTGTGAACATCAATGCATGCATTAGCTGAAGCTTCACCCAATCGCGAAGGACCGGCGAGCCGAACACTCTAGAGGCCAACGGAGGATAAGCAGCAAGCATTGACTTATCCTTATGTCTGGCGTCTGCCATACAATTCATGCGAAGAGAAAACATCGAGCCTAGGTGCTTATACTTTTCGACTGCCAACAACCTCCTATCATTGCCTGGCACAGGGAAAGAGAGGGAGCCTTCAACGATGTGGGACTCGAAATTATTGCGGCTTTTCTGGCCACGGAACTAGACCAACGCTTCCGTTTTGCCACGGGACCAGTTGATCTCGAGATTGAGTGAAGAGAACGTCTCAACCAACACGCTCAACAGCCTCGGAATGCTTCCACTCAATCTCTGAGCTGTGCTACATACAAGCATGATGCACTCATCATCCACACAGGCACAGTCTGTGATGCTGCAGGTGCGTTCGTAGGCGGCGGATCGATCCGACCAGAACTCGCCCTCAGGGGCCTCAAGCACCAAAGTTAAACCTTCGATCTTCAGACGGGTCTGCATCGCGTGCAAGGCAATCGAATACACAGCGTTGAAAGCCGTCGCTCCTATCTTACACCCCTGGCGCCCCCCCAGCCGTGAGCAAACTACCTCGTCTAGCGATCCGATATTGAACCACGAATTCGAGCATAGCGAACACTGTAGCTCACGCACGCATGGGTCGACCTGCCACTGGTTCAGGAAGGGGATGTTTTCTTCGATCGGCTGAAGAATCTGCTGGGCTACATGACTTTCGAGGTCCAAGGGCTCGAGGTACTGCAAACGTGCAACTAGATAAGGCTGGACATGCGAAGGAACACCGAACACTAGCTCTCTCACTACTCTGTCGAAGGCCTTGACGAGATCGACGAACACTATGCATACAGACCACACACGCTTCTACGCATAAATGATCATGCTCTGAACGATGTACGTTGCGTAGTCGGTCCCGCGACGAGGAACAGCTCCGAACTGAGCAGTGGGCATCTTACTGTTGTAGGCGGGTTTCGATGCTACGCTTCAAGCGCCCCACGAACGACTTACCCGAGTGGTCGTCTAGTGGGATACCACGATCGTCATTACGTTCTTGATTATCTCCTTTTCCTTTGAATAGAGAAGCCATTTTCCCACCCGCCCACTGACGTGGCCAACTCATGGACTCCAGAACCGACATCCTGCTCCTCCTCCTCCTCCTCCTCGCCCTTCTCCTCCTCCTCCTCCTCCTCCTTCACCTCCTCCTCCTCCTCCTTCTCCTCCTCCTCCCTGTCTTCCTCCTGAGAGCGCTGGCAGCATTTGGCACAAAACTGATGTTGACAGTACTTGGCTATCGGGGGCCCTGTCCAGAGCCACTTTGGGGCCTCTTGGGGATACCTTGGCGCCACTCTGGGGCCCCCGCTGGTGCCATCGCGCGGCAACTTGAGCTGTATGTTGGGAGACTTGGCCCTTAGAGGGTTCTCCAAAGGGCCTACGAGACCATCTTGGATGTTCCGGGAGCTCCCTTGGAACAAGTAGAGGGAGGTTATGATGCCCCTCGGCTGGGTGAGGTTCCCAATTCGCAGTGGATTATTACCCAGGCGACTAAAATTGTAGATATGCGGACGATGGCGACTGAGTCAATCTTGATTGTGAGCAGCGAAGTAGCCTTGAAGTGCATAGCGCACGGTGCCCCAGACCACGCGCACAGCAACAACGAGGTGAACACCCAACCCGAGTGTCAAACTCGCCGTCGTTGCTGTATGCCGCTGTAGATAGCACGCACGTTCGCCATCGAGCTTGCCACTCTGAGCCAGATGAGTCGTCCTACTGAAGTTGCCGCGTAGCTACTCATGGATATGCAGTTGCACGGAGTCGCGTTGACGAGGTTCGAGCCGATGTCGCACATTCGGGGCTAAGAAGATTTCCAAGCGAGCTGTGGGTGCCTGCCGACCATCAGCGTACCTCTCCGTTGAAGGGGATTTTCGGGTGGTAGATGTTGGATTTCATAGTGTTGTTTTTTTGGGGGTGGTGGACATGAAGTGTAGCATGCCGAACCCAATGGCGTAAACCGGCTCTCATGGCGCGTAAGATTCGATTGCATTTCTGGTCGTTATGGCTCGAACATAACAGTGGAGGCGGGATTTGGGCTCCCGAGCGCGGCTCTTCGCAGGGAGGCCCGAGGCGTGTCCTAAGCAGGACCCTGCCGCTGCACAGGGTTGCAGTGTCTCGCATTGCTCTCACGCGTGCCCAGAGCCCTGCGATCCGGGGCCGTGCACATCAGGAGGACGGGCCGTGCCAGTCGAGGGGTCCACTGCCCAGCGGGCTGGAGCCGTGGCGCCTCCACGCGTCTGCGGGTGGCCGCCTGGCCCGGAGGAGATCACGCGGCCTACGCGTGCCTTTGTGGGCGATGGATGCCTGGCAGCAGCCACCTCCCAGGGAAGCGCAGTCCAGGAGAAGGCGGGTGTGGGTACAGATCGAGCTCCAGTCCCTCGCGCTCTGCCTGGCCGAGCCTTCTCTGACACCTCCCTCTCGCTGCTCATGTTCCTCTCCTCCCCCTATCTCGTTCCTCTCGTTCCTCGCGTTCCTCTCCCCCTCTCTCGTTCCGCGCGGTCCTCGCCTCCCCCTCTCTCGTTCCCCCTCTCTCGTTCCTCTCTGTCACCTCCCTCTTGTTTCTCTCTCCCTCCACGGCCCTGCACCTCCGTCGTAATGCCCGCAGAAGAGACCGTGGCGGAGATCGAGAGCCTTTGGAACAGCGGCGGCGGCGGTGAATCCTCGAAAAAGTTCGCCACCATCAACCAGCTCATCTGGATGTTCACCGACTCGCAAGAGGCCGGCATTTCACCTGTCCCCCCATACTCTCTCCGATTCCATCCACCGTCCATCCATCCTATACACTTCCCCCTTGGCACTATCCATGCACCCTTCCTCCCCTCCCCTCCTTTTCCTTTCACCGTTCACCCCCCAGCCCCCAGTGTCTAGGCGCACTGTGCATACTGGTGGCCCTCGCTCTGAACGAAGCTGCATATCGTTGCTGGTCCCGTGTTCCTTTTCAGATCGTTGTTCGTATGGAATTCGTTTTGTGCGTTTCCGCGCCGAGTCTCATTCGCCCCATGTTGACTGCTTTGGCGCATTCTTCTCGCTGCCGTCCGTGGTTGCCAGGTGGGTGGCCTGCGCGTTTTCTGAACATCTTGCTCGACGCGGTTCCCCGTAGCTGGGCTGGCAAGCGTTGCATGAGTCTTGGTGAGCACTCAGGTCACCTCCTTTCCTTTTGCGGTACAAGCTTCTAAGCGTCCAGCTTGTGTCCAAGACGACCCGTGACGCCCGCTTGGGATGCCACTGCTCGCCGCGCTTGCTTATCTCATCCGCTCTGCTGCCTGGACCAAGAAATCCCCGTTCTTAGGATTGATTCCGCGTGCCATCATCATGTGCCCAATTCTTTACATCCAGGTCTAGCGCCTTCATTCGGGGCATCGGAGCCCCAAACGAAGTGCACGGCTGTCGGCTGACCCTCCTGCGGCAGGAAGTTCCCGCATCTCGTCCTTACGCTCCTCCCCCTTCCCGCCTCCCCAACAAGACATCCGCCGTCGAGTGGCGCCAGCGAGCTCTTCCACATAGCGAACAAAGCAAGTCCGTCCCAGCTTTTGGCTGATGTGCCGCGCCTGTCGAAGCGAAAGTGGCCCCGAACCCGACCCGGTTGCGGGAGCCTCGCTTCGTGTCGACCAGCGGCGACCCCCCGCCGCCGGCGCTGCACGTTGAACGCCGCCCGCGACCCAGAATCGGTCGATGTCGATCGGTGTCCCTCAGGACCCCGTCTCTGAGCCACCTCTTCGCAGATCGCTCGGCGGGCTGGCATGCAATGCTGGTGACTGCATGCGTGGGGAATGATGAATACGGGTCAGATGGGCCCCCGGACACGTGTGGCCACCCAGCTGAGTCGAATTAACCCAACACTCCACGAGTTACTCCGTGTCGCAATGGACGATGCGAGGGGACCTCGATCAGCTCCAACAGCTCCAACAGCTTCCGGTCTCTGAGCCACCGAAGAGTCGGTCCGTGTCGAACGATCCGACGTTTCCGAAGCGGCCCGTCGTGCGAGGCCGACCGATCCCTGCGGCGTCAGGAACCAGCGCCGCTGCCTCGCTGCCTCGCTCGATCCGGCTCCCCGCGCCCCCGCGGCGGCAGGTCCCCGTGTGCACCAAGGACGGCCGGCAGCGCTTCGTCCAGCGCGTGCAGGCCGCGCAGGAGGCCGCCGTCGAGGCCGGGGTCCCGGAGGAGGAGGCCGCCTCCGCGCTCGAGCCCGCCGCCTCCTCTTCCGCCCCACGCCGCCTCCTCCCTCCCTCCCTACCCCTCCCTCCCCGTCCTCCTCCCTCCTCCCTCCCTCCTCCCCTCCTGTCCTCCGCCCACCTCCCTCCCCACGCCTCCTCCCCCCCATCCCTCCCCTTCCTCCATCCCTCCCCGTCCTGCTCGTCCTCCCTCCCCCCATCGGCGATGCGGCTCGATGTGGAGCCCGATTTTCTCCACGCCGACGGCGCCGACGCATCGGCGATGTCGTCGATGCATCGCCGATGCATCGCCGATGCGCTGGTGATACCGTGCGATCCCCCGGCCCCATCCACTCGGGCTCCATCTAAGAAGCCTTCAGGAACGCCAGCAGGAGGCCCCTCGTCCTCGGGGCCCCATCCCTCAGGGCCGCATCTTTGGACCGCCAAGCCGGGGCCCCCAAACCGCCGAGTGCGATGCGATGGCTGCGGCTCGCTTCATTGGGTTTGGCGCCCCAGCGATTCCCTGAAGTCGCACACCAGACAGCACGAGTGCCCCAGGGTCACTCGTCGGTGTACAGCCAGGTCGAGGCCATTGTGCTCGTTGCACCGTTGGAGAATGCTATCGGTCCAAGAGTAGGGGGCCGGCGCCAGCCGGTGATTTTTCGCAGAGTAGGGTGGCAGAGCATGGGGTGGCACGAGATAGAACTGTCACCCTGCTGTCAGCATCATCGTCGTCACCACCGTCCGCTTGCGCTGTGCACTGCCCCGTCTTCCGCGGCCAGGGGTGCGCCTGACGGTCCCGCTGCCTGGCCCGTCCGTCGCCGCGAGATCGGATACCTCGGGAGGGGGCCCTCCGCGTCACCTCCCCGTCTCTTTCGGGTGGGAGTGGCGGTGGCGTTCGTCAGTCCCAGTGGGAGTCATTCGAGGGAGGAAAAACCACCCAGACTGGACAACTGGCGTTTACTAAACGGCCCTGGGCGTTTGCTAAACAGCCCTGCCCTGTTTGATTCCTTCTTTGGGTGCGTTTACTAAAAGGCTTCGCGTGTCGGGGTGGTCACAATCGGGGTGCATTTTCTGCCCTCTAATCATGGCGGTGATGGTCCTAAGGCAGAACAGCGGGCCAATTCCCCGTGGCGGGCAGAGGTGTGGCGTCTGCGTTGTCTGCAGCAGATGATAGCGGGTGAGGGTTCCTGCGCTCCTTGCTCTGGGCCTTCTCGGGCCTTGGGCGCACCGCGCCAAGAGACGGCGGCCGAGCGATGCGGGGCGAGGCAAGGGAGAGCGGGCACGCACAAGAAGAAGCGCGCAGGAATCGTGGCATTCCTCTCGGATTATTCCACCCTCCCCATCCGCGATTCCCTCTCCATCCCAGGGCGCGTTCCGACTCCGCCTGGCCGATCCGAAAACAATTCCCGAGATTACAGGTTCCGTATTTCTGCACGCTCTCGATCGAGGGTTCACCAATCTGGCGCGGCGTCGAATCTGGCGCCTACCGATTTTTGTTGTTCGATGTCGTGTCGGTCCAGCTCCAGTGTAAAAGAGAGGATAAGTCCGACTGCGACAACGAGAAACGGGCGGTGGGAGGGAGGCCAAGGGCAGGTGGATTGACCCCTGCTTCTTAAGCTTTTCGCCTTGAATTGTTTTTCGTCAGCCTCGGGGTCCGAAGACAGCTCTGGAAGGCCTAAGTGGTGGACAACTCGAGCCTCGATAGTCTTGAGTCTGGAGCTCGTGAGAGGTCTGGGGAGGAGAAAGGAGGACGACGACGGACGACGACAACGACGGATGATGCTGGCCGGCGGACGTCGACTGTCGATGGGCGATGGACGACCGAAGTCGGCGGACGACCGCAGAGGACGACGAATAACTGACCACGACTACGACGAAACGAACAGACGACGACAACAACGACGACGACGGCAACGACGACGACGACGACGACGACGACGACGACGACGACGACGACGACGACGGCGACGACGACGGCGGCGGCGGCGGCGACGACGGCGGCGGCGGCGACGACGGCGGCGGCGGCGACGACGGCGGCGGCGGCGACGACGACGGGCGGACGGGCAGGCGGGCGGGCGGGCGGACGGACGGACGGACGGACGGACGACCGACGACGGACGGCTGACGACGGACGACGGACGACGAAAACCACCGATGGACCGACCAATCGACCGACCGACCGACCGACGACGACGACGACGACCTACGACGACGACGACGACGACGATAAACGAACGACGACAACGACGACGACGATGCCGAAGACAAAAGCGACAACGACAAAGACGACAAGGACGACAATGACAACGACGATGACGACGACGACGACGGGCGGACGGACGGACGGACGGACCGACGGACGTTCCGACGGACGCACGACCGACGACGGAAGGACGACGGACGACGACGACGACCGACGCCGCGCAGCCCCACGGCAGGCGTTTACGCACGTGCCGGATGGGTCTCCGAAGGCATCCTCGCCGAAGCACGGCGAGGCGGCCTTTTTTATTGGCGCCTGCTCGGCGGCGCTCGGCGGCCCTTCGACGGACGCCCTCCGGCACCGCCCAACGGGGCGCAGCTGGAATCGTAGGGGAACAAGCAATGGCAAAACATAGAAACTCTGAGGTCCGCGCGGATTTCTCGGATCGGCGCTGGAGCCCCCTGGCGGCGCCTCCGGCGCCGCCCCTGGCGCGCTCCGCGCGCCAGGGAGGGGGGTCCAGCGCCGATCCGAGAAATTCGCGCGGACCTCCGAGGTTTCATGTTTATGCATTGCTTGTTCCCCTAAGCCGGGGGCCCCCAAACGGGGTGGTGACCGCAGTGTGTGGTGAGTCGGTGGGAGTTCGGGCTTGCCGCACGATTTTGGGGCTCGAGGCCCTCTCCGAGGACGCCTCGGGCGACAGGCGCCTCCGGGGTCCCAATCCGTGCGGTGACGGACCGTGCGTTGAGGTCTTGAGGGGTTTCGAGGTCACCACACGGTCTGTCACCAGACCGTTTCGGGACTCCAAATGGAAACCGAGTGGCGTGCGCTCGGTGTGCCTTGAGCCCCGCGGAAGGCTTCGTCCCCAGCTCTTGGACCGTCTGTGGACCCTCTCGGGGAACTCTTGGCCCGTCTTGGCGCATCTGTGGACCCCTGTCCCCCCTCATGGGAATGGCATTCGGATCTGAACCTTTCCGTCTGTTTTTTGAGGTCGACGTTTATTTTCCAGGGCCGCGTGACAATCGCGATTTAGCAGTATTGGCAGCTTTGTACGCAAAGGGGGAGCCGCTGGGGGTATAGCGCGGACCTTTTCGCTCAATCATTGTGGGGATGTCTCGATCTCTCCGTTTGTTATGGGACGTTAATCGTTTCAGGGCCGCGTAACGATCGCGACGTAGCATGCATGGCGCTTGGGGAGCCCAAGGATGTATGTCACCAGTCCAATCGCGAGCAGATTGTTGAATTGTCTTTAGCGCGCTGCTTGTTGTTGGAGGTAGGGGTTTTCTTTTTCATGGTCGCGTGACCATCGCCATGTAGCAGGCATCGCACTTGGGCATCCAAGGAGGAAGCCGCCAGGGGAGCATAGCACGAGCCCGTTCGCTCCCATACTGTTGGGATGCTTCGAGCGTTACCTTTGTTACTGGAGGTACGCGCGTCTCTTCTCAGGCCCGCGCAACAGAAATGATGCAGCAGGCACCGCATCCGGGCACCCGAGGCGGAAGCCGACAAGGGGCACAGCACGAGCCTGGTTGCTCCCATGTTGTGGGGAGTGTCTCGAGCGCCCCCCTTGGTTCTTAGAGGCAGACGTGTCCCTTCCAAGGGCCCAGAGCCGCGTGACCGCCGTGATGCGGCAGCCGTGCCCTGGTTGGGCAGCCCGAGAGGGCGCCGCCACGGGGGCAGTCCCGCCACGAGCCCCTCCGCGCCCGGTCCGCGGGGGGTGCCTCTGGCACTTCGCGCCTGGCTATGGGAGGTCGACGTGTCTCGTCTCGCAGCCGCGTGGCCGTCGCGATGCAGCAGGCGTGGCACGTGGGCACACCAGGGGTGGGGGTGGGGGGGGCAGCAAGGGCTTGGCATCGCTTGGACGTGTGCATTTTTCTTTCGGCGAGGACCATCGAGGAGCATCCTTGATCATTTGGCGAAAAAACCACGCACGAAACCGAAAAAAACACAGGGAATGGACGTCCGAGCGATGGCGAGCGGGGCAAGGGGGGAGGGAGGGGGCAGCAAGGGGCCCGTTCTCTGCAGTGTGTGCTGTGAGCGTCTCGAGCGTCTCGCGTGTCGTGAACTCGTCTGCTTCAGATCTGGACGATGACGGTCGTGATCGGCCCTCTCCCTTGGGCCCCCCCCCCACCCCCGGATCACGTCACGCCAGCTTGCCCACACTTGCAATGATGTCCTACGGATTCTGCAAGGGTTCCCTCAGATTTCTGGCGGCCCCCCGCCGTGATGTGATTGGGGTGGGCACTTCCCCCCCCCCCCCTCCTCCGATCACGCCCGTTGTCGCGAATGATAAAAAAAGGCTCCATGGGTGGCAGACGTGCCTCTTCTCAGGGCCGCGTGGCCATCGCGACGTGGCGGACTCAGTCCGCCAGGGGGGTATGTCACGAGCCCGCTTGAGCCCAAACAGGACTGGTGTCTCTAGCGCTTCACATGTTACGGGAGGTAGACGTGTCTCTTTCCAGGGCTGCGCGATCATCGCGATGCAGCAGGCTTGGCACTTGGGCACGCCAAGTGCGAGCTGCCTGGGGGTAAAGCACGGGCCCGCTCGCTCCAATATTGCGGGGATGTCAAGAGCGTTCGTAATACAGGAACTCGTGAAAAACGAATGCGTAGATGTGGGTCTCCGGCTTGAGCAGTTTTGATGGGTGCCATTGGAACCATCCGTTTGCGATCGATGTGCACCCAGAATTTCCCACGGTGCCCAGCAACACGCAGTTTTTCCTTAGGCAGTCTCCGGTTCTGCTCTTTTCGTGGCGCACTCCATACCCTGGGGGGTGGTGTTTGAAGCGTATTGCCGCACACGCGATTTCCATTATGATGGCCACACATAAAATATTCAATGTGCACGAATGTTCCCGATGTGATTTTTCTCATGCGTCAGTGCCAGAAAGCAGCTCTGAATGCCAAGTACGGGTCGGTAACAATATTGTTAGATCATACGTGTTTGCTGTTTTCAAGGTTTCTGAAGCCCTTGAATGCAATGCGGTGGCGGGCGAGAGCAAGTCTCGCGCGAGAGGCCGAACCATTGAGGGGCGCATTGAGGGGCGACCTTGGGTTTGTGCTTCCAAGATACGCCTGTGTTACCTCCGCTTTGCCCAGCTGTCTGGTGTATGCTCTTGATCCTTCGCACTGTTCGGTAGTTGCGTGTTTGTCGTCCAGGGCAGCATGCAAGTGACGCGCCGTGGACATGCCAAGGCGCTCAGACTTCCCAAGATAGCGCAAGAAGAAGAAAGGCATCATGACAATGCATTGCAGACCCAGCGATCAGGGCCCACCGGGCCAGTCCTTCCGCATGACCGGCCAGAGCTCGGGGTTGGTTTGGTTGCCGAATTTCCCCTCGCTCACCTTTCCTGTGCCCGCTGGGCACATCCCCAAGATCCGGCCGGCGATTCAGGAGGGATCGTTTGGCGGTCGCTTCTTCTGCGGGGGATGCGACCGCTGCAGGCGTCGCACGGAGACGTGACCGCCATCGGTTTCTTCACGTTCGTGCACCTGATCCGCGGCTTCGTGCGAGACTCGGAGCAGGATCTGCGCCCAAGCGGGTGGGCGAAGAGGGCCGATGATTGTTTGTCCCAGTAGGCAGGGGCGATACTGAGCTCGGACCGAGGTGGGAGCAAGAGCGATGACTCAGAGGAAAAATGGGAGAATGGCGAGGAGAAGGGCGAGAATGATGGGGAGACGGAGGGCTAGGAGAGCAGTCTTCCAAGACGTTGCGGTTGTTTGTTGGACGTGTGGGCGATCTGTCGGCAGATGCGAGTTGCAACAGAATTGCACGCATGCCGCGAGGAAGATAATGACTCTAAGGGGGCAAGTGCTGGCAGGGGTGTTGGAAGGCCTCCATCGATCTGGAGGGGCTGGTGAGGATGCCACAGATGTGCCGAATGACAAGAAAGTGAGAGAGAGAGAGAGAAATCAAGAGAAAAAGTGAGAGAGAGAGAGAGAGAACACAACCACATTTGTATAGCGGGAAAGAAGGGATCACATACGCTGAGAGTCACTGGCATGAGAGCAATCGTCGCGACTGTATCTGTGTAACGGACTTCGACCCATCCCGCCACCGTGCCTGGTTTGTGGGTCAGAAGCAGAAGGTGTGTGTGTCTCGGGCTCTCTTCGGAGCGCTCTCGGGGGTCTCCGGAGGGCGTTCGTGGAGCCTCTGGGAAGCCTCTTGGGAGCAGCTTGGGTTCCTCTTGGAACTTCTTGGGGGCTTATTGGGCCTCTTGGGAGCCTCTAAGTCGCGGCCTTCTGTTGACGATTCCGCCGCAGCACCCCCTTTTAGGTCACTCGCTAGGCTGCGGCGGATATTTCGCGGCCTTGCGAGAGCTGCGGCAGGGTTTTTTTACCCTCCGCGGCTTGGACATCATACAGTGAGCGGCTTGAATAAGGAACACTTGCTTTTCAAAAGGGGCTCGGTCGTTCCTTAGGTTTGCATTCGTTAGTTGCAGTTTTTTATGCGTCATTTGTTATTTATCGTTCCTTATGCGCTATTCCTCGGGATAAAAAAGGGGCTTCGTTCCTTATTTATCGTTCCTGAGGTCAGGCCGATGACTGTATAGAATAACAGGGCTGTCCTACAAGCGTTCCAGGGGATCACTCGTTTCATCTTGGTCCCCGTTCTCCGAAACCTGCACGAGCGAACAGTCCGCCCGGTGTTGTCGGGTCGTCGCACTGGCTTCTAGGCTCGACCAGACGTAAGAGTGACCTTTCGCCGAAGTGACCTTTGGTCCGCGCACAGATGGGCCCCCAGATGGCTGAACGCGAAGCGGTAGCAGCGGCTAGCGCGCCTGGATTTGGCCTCCCCGCGGCCCCCCCAATGCCGCGCACCAAAGGTCACTCTTACCCAGGGTCACTCTTACGTGTAGCCGATAGGCAATCTGTTCAACGACCTCTACAGAGGGGTGCCCGGTTTCAGGTAGCTCGTGTTTGACATGGTCACACATTCACTTCGCGGCTGAGTTATACGGATGATAGGTGGAGGCCTACAATATAACATACATGGGAATAGGGGTGGGGCGCGCGTGCCTTCGCAACGTATTGAATTCATGCACGATGTTCCAAGGTGTTTCATCTCTCGCTGGCCATGGCACCTTGGGCTCCATCATTAGATTCCTCAGCGGCTATGCAGGAGATTCCGAAAGCCAGTCCAGATGAACCAGCCCATCGCCCCCTCACCCACCCCACAGATGGTTGTCCACTCCCTGTTTGTTGCGTTCGATTTGAAGCATTGGCGCGATCATCGTTTTTCATCGTGCTGTCCCAACGTTCCTCGCCAGAAGTGGTCAGTGGAAAACGCTGGTGTTTGATGAGGCGGGTCAGATCCGATGCTTGCAGCGCTGACGTCAGTGCCCACGCTTTGTACCCTCGAGCACCTCGGACTGCTCATATGTCTGCGCCGCCCGTCCACATCATTGATGTGCGCGTCTGCAGCCTTCCTGTGTTATTATACCGTGCGTGCGCGCAGTCGCCATCTGGTGCGCAGCAAGTCTCTTGTTTCGGGAACCCGCTTGACCCATCGTTTCGCAAGCTTCGAACTTACTTGGAATGCTATCCAGGTGCAAGTTTGCACTGGGAGCTTTCATGCTCCCCCCCGTTTTGCTCGAGCAACTTCTATTGTTTGGCTGATCCCCCTGCGCTCTTCTGATTACCTGCTGGTGAGTCGGTCAGAACTTCACATCGTCTACTGAATTGATGCAGCGTGCTCCGCGCTTTGGTTCCCCGAAGCCGTGCGTGGTTCTGTCCTGAACTTCCGCCAAGCTGCCCAGTTCAATATGAAGCAACACGGTCATACGGCCAACGCCACACTTTGTCGTCCTCATACTTCCACTTCAATCTTTTGTTCATGAGCCTTCCTCATCGATCGCGTCGGTCCTCTCCTTGCTTATTCTATGTGTTCTTTCATGCAGCGACACCTATTCCCCCACCCGAATTGACGCCCTTGGCTGGTGAGACCACACGTCACTCCTTGGCTAGGAAGTCATTGACCGCGAGAAGGAAGCAGTGTCCTTCGCCAGCTTCTCGACCAGCGAGGCTGCCGGGATTGTGAAGGTAGGACACATGTAGGCAGCAGAGGTTAGATTTTGCTGTTTCCCCTCCTGCCCCAGAACGGCCCTCCTGAATCGTATTGCTTCCAAGGATTGCGCAACACATCTCATGGGTGTCGAGCTGGCCGCACGAATGGAAGGGGGTTGCAAACGAAATTGCCAGATGCCAGTGCGGCCCGTGGATGTTCATCGGCGGTGTGGCGCGGCATGCATATTGGCAGCATGCCGAACACCGCACTGGCCGGGTGTTGCCCGTGCAACATCAGGCAGGGCAGGGGCGAAACGTTGGGGCAGGCATTATATAGATCTGTATATGTGTATGTATATATTTGTATATTGGCCAAGCGTTGTCTCAGGTTTAAAGAAAGCCAACGCAGAGGATTGGCAGGTGACAGCAGGTCTCGCCTCGAGTGGCAATTCAGGGTCTGAGGCGAGTCACGGTTAGGCCAGGTCAAGTAAGGGTTGATTAGTAGGCCAGGCAGCGCAACGCATGCCGGTGCTTCTCACAGAAAAGCATTCCGGTTCAGGGAGTTGACATCTCGTGTGTAGCTATTGGTGTGTGTGTGTGTCTTTGTAAGCGATTGTTCTGCCCCGCTCTGGCGCACATCCCGGGCTACTTCTGAGGATTTTTCAGTTCGTTGCAGTGGCTGCGTGCGAAGGGGGGACGTGGGCACAAAGAGAGAGAGAGAGAGAGAGAGAGAAGGATGGGAGGGACGGCGGCGGGAGGGAGGAATGGATGGAGGGAGGAGGGAGGAAATGGACGGGCAGGGAACGAGGGATTGAGGCAGGAAGGGGCGAATGGAGAGACGGAGGACGGGCCTGGGATGATTCCGGCCCTCGGCGCGAGCCAAGCAAGAGACATTTCCAGCGTGATCGTTGGAGCGGGGTGCCACCTAACCTCTGCTCCTGGTCAGGCTCGTGACGAGCAGAGGCTCACTCCCCTGTCCATGTTCCTGTCTGTTTCCGCTCCTGGCCGCCTGGCCAGCATTTAGTCTCACGACCCGCAGCCTTTGTCCCATGGATTGGACCCACCGTTTCTCTTAGCTGGCTGTTTTCTGCAGCCCTCGCCAGCAGGTTCCACACTGCTGGCGGTGACGTCTTTGTGGTGCTGCCGCCGAAGTCCCCAAACATGCCCGTGAAGCGCTATATCTCGAAGCGTTGAAGGGCTTTGCGCAGCAGTAATTGGAGTCCGCGCCAGGTAGAGGGAGACCCTGCTGAGCGCACGGGGAGGGAACCGCCGCGGACATGGTCCAGGGCGCCAATTGCCCCCTGCGCTGTGGCGAGCATGCTCTGTCCATGGCTGCCAGAGGCGGCCGACCTCGACTTCGGCAACAATTGTTGGGCGTACCCGCGAGATGGACTGCCCGTGTACGCAAGTGTTAAGTCGGGCCTGTCCCCCTACTGGGGGATTTTCGATGAAAAATAAAAATGCCCCAAAAATAATCAAAGCATAGTCCAAACATAGCCTGGGGACTATTTTGGGGGTATCTGTTTTTACCTCTTTGGGGCATCTAGGGGGTATTTTTTTTATTTTTCGTCGACAATCCCCCTGTAGGGGCACAGGCCCGACATGACGCAAGCGGGGGCCCAGCCACAGATGGATCACGCACTCCCGGCTCCGAGGCTCGGGAGCCCGACCGCCGTACGGCAACTCTTGCCGTCTCCGCCGCACGCCGACAGGAAGGACCACTCTCTCCTCTCTCCTCTCTCCTCCTCTCTCCTCTCTCCTCCCGACTCTCTCCTCTGCCCTCCTCTTCCTCCACTCTCCTCCTCCTCCTCCTCCTCCTCCTCCTCCTCCTCCTCCTCCTCCTCCGTGGTGCACGCTCCGCCTCCTCCTCGTCCTCCTCCTCCTCCTCCTCAACCTCCTCCTCCTTCTCCTCCTCCTCCTCCTCGTCTCTCCTCTCTCAGCGTGTTCTGAAGAGCGGAGAGAAGCATTCAGAGGTCTGGATAGCTTAACGTTGCCTCGATACGCCCGTTTTGATGCGCAACACATGCCGTGTTCAAAACGTCCGTGCCAATACGTCGCGTGTCGGTTCCACGTATTGGCCCACGTTTTGGCGAACGTGTCGCGTCGGACCTGCGTGTTCAGTCCACGTGTTGAGCTCCGTATCAATACGCTACGTGTCGCGTGTTACGTTTCGGGACAGCTAAGCTGGATTCGATAACCCTGCGTATTCTTTGACTGCATTCCAAGTGATACGGGCCTCGATGGAGGCTGGTGCCGTCCGCGCGTTCAGGCGTTGCGGCGAGCGCAAGGTGTCTCTCAAGCCACTGATCCAGCGCACCGGTTCGCGCAACACGTTCGGTTTCGCACCGTTTCGTGGCATATTCCACGGGGGCTGATACTGTGACGTCCTACAGGCCTCTAGTTGTGTCCAGGTCAACACCCGCGCACCTGCCGGGCGTTACGACCCAAGCTTTACCACGCGCTGCCACGGCTGCTGCGTCCCAGGGCCATCTGAGCGCAGTGGATTGCCAAGGGCAGCGGCAAAGTGAAACGTCGGGGAAGGCACTTCCCTCGCCTTCCACCCTCTTCCTACCCATCCTCTGCTCGTTTCCCCCCCTCCCATCGTCCCTCGTCGTGCCTTGCGGCCTGGCCAGGAGGCACATCCATGTGCCCCAAATGTTGTCACGTGGGAGCTCGGTGCGCCCTGGCAGGAAGCAGGTCCCAGTCCTGGCCGGCCTTTCTCCGGACCAGCCATCCATTCACCGGGGGCGTCGAAGAGGGGGTTGGAGGTGAGGGCTGGGGGGGGGGATGCCACGGCTGGGGCCATGGCACCTCTCCGACGCCATGCCCCCCCCCCCGCCCCTCCAGCTCACCAAGGCATCCGCTGGCGCTCCCCCCTCGGCCGCGCACGTGCCTCGGGCCACGATGCGTCCTCCTCGGCCCCCTCCCCAGGCGCACCCTCGGCCCTCGGCGCCCGCCTCCTCGGGCCCCTCTCCAGCGCACCCTGATCCCAGGGGGGGGACCCGGGGGGTGAAAAACCCGCCTGGTTTTTGCACCCGCCCAGCTTGAACACAAAAACATAAAAACATAACAAAAAAACAAACAACCAGCAACAACAACAAAAAACGCCCGGTGTTTTGTTTCACGCCCGGGTTTTTTTGCACCTCCGCCCGGTTTTGTTCCCCCCCCCCGCGCACCCTGATCCCGCGTCGCTCTCGGACCGAACCCTTGGCCAGCGCGGAGAGCCCCCCCCCGCGCGGGGCGCCGGGGTCGCTCACCGCAGACCAACGAGTTCCGCCGCGTGTTCTCCGACCTCGCCTCCGCCGAGGCCGGTGGCCTCTCCCCGGCGCTCGCGGAGAGGATGCATGGGCGAGTCGGGGGATCGGGGGCGGACAAGAGGGGGGTGATGATTAAGGGGGGGGGGGATATCATGGCGGGGGCCATGATATTTCCCCAGATGTCATGGCGCCTCTTCTTATTTCATTACGTCCCTGGCCCCCCCGCTGGAGCGCGCACATGCCGCCGGTCATGATCTGCACCTCCCCCTTTTGGACACCCCCCTCTTGGCCGCTCCCGAATGGGCGAGTCGGGGGAGGTGGGGAGGGTCAGGGAGGCAACTGTTCAAGCAGTAGCGAAGCGTCCTGGCTCGCCTATAGCCCTACCAAAAAATGTTCTGAGAACCTCTTGTGGTATCCACGAGATGTTCTTAGAACATGTCTGGCGGAGTCTGTCCTGTTTTATCACATCGGGTTGATGTTCTAAGAACATGGTTGCTCTTAGAACATTGCTGGGTTCTAAGAACATTTCGTGGTAGGACTGTAGGATGCTGAAACGGTCGGTCCCTGCTCAAACTGTCAGGTCGGGAAGACAGGGCTGGGAGAAATGATCAGGTCATCGACGTTGCCGCGTAGTTCGAAGGTGCTCGTGACACAGTCATATCCTGTGTCCTCCCAGCCCCTTCCTCCCAGCACGGTGGTGTTTTTTCTCAGAGGAGGAAATCGGCGGCAGAATCCGAACCCTAGCGTCGCCGATCAACGATTCCGGCAACTCGATGGGCGGCGGGGATAGGGTTCGGAATTCGTCGAACTTGTGGCGGAGCCTGAACTCTACTCAGCCTCCCAATCGTGTGGGGTTTGGCAAGGGAGCAAACAATGACACAAACGTGCAAATTCTGAGGCCCGCGCGGATTTCTCGGATCGGCGTTGGCTGAGAAGTCCCGCCGCCTTCTGAGAATCAGGCGATCGCAAACATGGATCAGGGGGGCGTGGATTTGCGACGGGCCCGGTTTTCATGGGAAATCGCGGACTTGCGCCGCCGAGCGAGGCGGCACCGGCCGCATTTTGGGGAGGGCATCTCCCCCAATCCATGGATTTGGCGACCGCGCGCCAAATCCGTGGATCGCTAATCCATGTCTGCGCGCCCCCGACTCTTGACGCGACAGTAGCATTGCTGACTGCTCGCTACGCTTAATACGCTTAAGTCGGGCGCGTCCCCCTACGGGAGGCATATTCAAAAATAGTTGTAAAAAAGAATCAGGGGACGATGCTTTGACCATTCTTGGCTAGTTTGGGGCAGTCTGGGGGTATTGTTGAAATTCTGCCTGTCTGCGCGCCCCCGAGAGAAGGCCTTCTCCTTTTCATGCCCCCCCCCGGGGGGCGCGCCGCCGAGTGGCCTTCTGAACGAGGCCTCCGCACCCCTCCCCCCCTCGCCCCCTCTCCGTCGACGAGCCCCCCGCTCCCAGCTGCTCCCCATGGCTTCTCCTCGGAGCCTGGGGAGGAGGAGGAAGGGGGAGGAGGAGATGGAGGAGGAGATGGAGATGGAGATGATGATGGAGATGGAGATGGAGAGGAGGAGGAGGAGGGCAGGAGGAGGATGAGGAGGTAGGGAGGAGGAGGAGGAGGAGGAGGAGGAGGAGGAGGAGGAGGAGGAGGAGGAGGAGGAGGAGGAGGAGGAGAGGAGGAGGAGGAGGAGGAGGAGGAGGAGGAGGAGGAGGAGGAGGAGGAGGAGGAGGAGGAGGAGGAGGAGGAGGAGGAGGAGGAGGAGGAGGAGGAGGAGGAGGCGGAGGAGGAGGAGGAGGAGGAGGAGGAGGAGGAGGAGGAGGAGGAGAGGAGGAGGAGGAGGGGAGGAGGAGGCAGAGGAGGAGGAGGAGGAGGAGGAGGAGGAGGAGGAGGAGGAGGAGGAGGAGGAGGAGGAGGAGGAGGAGGAGGAGGAGGAGGAGGAGGAGGAGGAGGAGGAGGAGGAGGGAGGAGGAGGAGGAGGAGGAGGAGGAGGAGGAGGAGGAGGAGGAGGAGGAGGAGGAGGAGGAGGAGGAGGAGGAGGAGGAGGAGGAGGAGAGAGGAGGAGGAGGAGGAGGAGGAGGAGGAGGAGGAGGAGGAGGAGGAGGAGGAGGAGGAGGAGGAGGAGAGGAGGAGGAGGAGGAGGAGGAGAAGGAGGAGGAGGAGGAGGAGGAGGAGGAGGAGGAGGAGGAGGAGGAGGAGGAGGAGGAGGAGGAGTGGAGGAGGAGGAGGAGGAGGACGGAGGAGAGGAGGAGGAGGAGGAGGAGGAGGAGGAGGAGGAGGAGGGGAGGAGGAGGGGGAGGACGGCGGAGGAGGGGGAGGAGGAGGAGGAGGTGGAGACGGAGGCGGCACCAGCACATCTTCTAGTCTTGACACCAACGCCGACGTCTGCAGCGACGACAGCAGCAACGACGCCTGCATTGACAGCAGAACCGGCAGCAGCACAGCCACCATGCCCGACGTCAACACCCACGTCCGCAGCGACGACAACAGCAACGCCTGCCACGACACAAACACCTGCATCAGCAAAGCCGTCAACGTCGACGCCACCGCCGCCGTTTACAGCGAAGCCAGCATTGGCGCCTGTATCGACATCGACACCAGCACCAGCAGAGCCACTGAAGTCGACCGCAACACCGACGCTGGCAGCGGAGACACAGCGACTCCCGCATCGACATGATTTCATGCACCAGCACAACCACCAGCCTCGACGCCCACCCCGACGTCAGCAGCGACACCATCCGCGAAGCCCGCATCGTTAAAACAGCACTGGCATCAGCACAGCCACCAGCCTCGACGCCAACACCGACGCCTTCAGCGACGCCGGCAGAGACAAGCGCATCGACATCGGCATCGGCACCAGCACGACGACTAACTCACCGACTTCACCATAAAGCCTGCAGCGACGCCACCAGCGACGCTTGCATCGACGGCAGCAGTGGCACCAGCACAGCCACCAGCCTGAATGACAACAACACCGACGCCTGCAATGACGACAGCAGCGACGCCTGCGTCGACAGCAGCCCCGGCGCTAGCACAACCACCAGCCTCGATGCCAACGCCGACGCTCGCGGCGACGCCAGCAGCCACACATGCATTGACATCGCCACCGACGCCAGCACAGCCACCAGCCCCGACGTCACCACCGACTTCAGCAGCAACACCAGCGACGCCTGCATCATTATTGGCCCCAGGACCAGCACAACAATCAGCCTTGACGCCAACGCCGACGACTGCAGCGATAGCAGCAGTGACGATTCCATCAACAGCAGCACTGGAAGCAGCACAGTCGCCAGCGTCGACGCCAACACCCGCGCCGGCAGCAACGCCAGCATCGACCGACGCCTGCGTCGACAACAACATCGAGACCAGCAGAGTCACCAATATCGACGTCGACGTCAGTGCAAACGCCTGCAGCGACCCCAGCAGTAACGACTGCATCGACAGCAGCCCCAGCACCAGCATCGCCACGGAAGTCGACCTCAACACGGACGCCAGCAGCGGAGACAGCAGCGACTCAATCAGCGACCCTAGCGGTGACACTTGTAGAGACGACACCGCCCACGCCTGCAACGAGGGCTCCCCGACAGTGGCTCCAAACCCTGGCCGCCCTGCTCAACCGACGTGCCACGCCGACGCCGGCAGCGACGTCATCATCATTTGCGCCACCGCCGACTCCAGCATCGACGTTTGCAATGGCGACAGCATCGACAACAGCACCGACTGATGCCAGCCGACGGCCCCGCGACTGATGCCAGCCGACGGCCCCGGCGATTATGAGCCGGCCCCGACGCCATCATCGACGTCTGCAGTGACGCCAGCGGCCCCTGCACCGACACCACCACCGACACCTGTACATCCACCAGCCTCAGCGTCGCCACCGAGGCCAGCAACAATGCTAGCAGTGCAACCTGCACCCGCATCGGCACGGGCACCAGCACAACCACCCAAGATGACGCGCACGCCGACGTCTGCAGCGACAGCAGCAGCGACGCAGGCATCGACAGCAGCACTGGCAGCAGCACAGCCACAAGCCGCGCCTGACGCCCCAACCCACCACGACCGTCGAGCTCCACGACTGCGACAGGCGCGCTTCTCCGACCCACATGCACGACGTCGCACCCGACGTCCCCCCGACGCCCCACCCAGCGCCCCATCCCGCGCCCACCCCAACGGCTAACTCTCCCCGTGACCACCTCAAGACGTCGAGACTACAACAGGTGCACTTCGCCGACCAGCTGCACGACGTCATACCCGACGTGCTGCCGGCGCAGCAACCAAACCATGGACCACGCACCACGGCCGCGATCCCACACCACGCCGACAACAGTAGATCCTGGGGACGCCGACGCTCACCTCAGCAAGGCTCCACACCCGGAGTGCAGGATCGTCGACCAGAACACCATCTTTGATGTCGTGGCCCCGAAGGGCGCCCGCGGGGAGGGGGGAGGAGGTGGTGGTGTCGAGACGATGGGGGTGGATGGGGTTTCCGCGTGCCGCTGGGACCGCGGCCTTCTGTCGCCTCTCTCTCGGGGAAACGCAGGTCTCGAGTACGCCAGAACTCGGGTTTGGCGACGCTTCTTGACGAGCGCGTCGTTCTATTTTGACGATCCAGTTCCGTGGGACGTCTGCAGCGGGAGCTCGCGTCAAATCTCAGATTGGATCTCGTCATTCTCATGATGGCCCCGTCAGTCCAACCCGAGTCCCCCGAGCCCGAGTCCTACGTCTCCCCGAGTCTCTCTTGTCCCTTCCTCGCTCGCTCGGTCCCTCGGTTCGCCTCCCTTGTCGATCCCCCTTCGCGTCGTCTCCTTCTCGTCCCGCTCGATGGCCCCACCTACGACCCGCCTGGGTCGTGTGCCCGAAGATTCCCCCCCCCCCCTCGCACACCAGACGGTGGGGCGGGTAGGGGCGACGGCTGTATCCAGCGGCCCTTTATCGCCCTCAGCTCGTCAGCTCGTCAGACGGAGGCGGAGGCGGCGGCGGAGCAGCAGCATGAGGACGAGGAAGAGAGAGAGAGAGAGAGAGAATAAAAACAACAGAGAGAGAGAGAGGGAGAGAGAGAGAGATGGAAATAATTGAGAGAGGGAGGGAAGGAGAGCGCGAAAGAGGGAGTTCGAGAGCAAAGGGCTCACCCGTTGACACTGGTGACTTGACCTGCGATGCTCCTTGAAGCGCATCCCTCCGCCTCGTATTCTCTAAGATCCTCGGAAGTTAGAGGATACGTCCTCGTCGTCAGTTTTCTACTCCCTCTCCATCTGCTCGGTTCTCCTCCTCTTCCGTGCCCCCTCCGTGCCGATCCTCGACCGGCCCTTTTCATCGAGTGATTTTGGTTCGAGGTCTGACTTGAACGCCCGAGGGTCGCTAACAGCGCGGTCAGCCTGCCCAGTGCCCCGCGATGGCGCGCCCCGGCTCCGGTGCCCTGCTCCTCCTCGCCGCGGCCGCGTCCCTGCTCTCTGCGACCCTCTCGCCAGCCTTTGCCGGACCGAGGGCCCAGCCGAGCCCGGCTGCCAGGGGGGAGCGTGCGGCCAGGCGGGCGGGATCCGAGATCATGCTCACGGCTCCCTCGATCGGCGGCCGCTACCGCGTGATCATCGACGAGAGCACCACGGTGGAGTCGTGCCTGACCAAGTTCAGGAAGATCTTTGAGATTGACCAGGATTTTCTCCTCGACAGCGACTTCAACGTCTACCTGAAGGAGGACGAGAGCAAGCCGATCTCGGGCAAGATTGCGGATCATACGAAGTTGCGCCCGTGGGGCCCAGACGGCATCGAGCTTCACATCTACTACGAGCCGAAGTGAGCGGCATGCTGTTTCTGGGTGCCTCGTTCTTCGACGAAGTCCGCATCAGCGGCGCGCGTGTTTTAAGACTCCTTCTCCTCCTCGCCCGCCGTTGTCAGGAGCGTGTGTCGGTCACATATGCGGTCTTGCGTGCCGAAGCGTCCACCTGCGAAGGAGGCGATCGTCACTCGCTGCAGCGAGTGGCTCAAGAACGCGCGGGAGGACGAGAGGGGAACAGGAGGAAGAGCAGGAGGAGGAGGAGGAGGAGGAGGAGGAGGAGGAGGGGGAGGAGGAGGAGGAGGGGGAGGAGGAGGAGGAGGAGGAAGAGGAGGAGGAGGAGGAGGGGGGAGGAGGAGGAGCAAGGAGAAGGAAGGAGCCTGAGCAAGGGCTTCCTTCTCTTCCACAGAAACATCTGGGTCGGCCCTCGGGGGCGCGCACATATGTCGCCGTTCCGCTCGCGCGAGTCCACTTCGAGTCGCGCGCGCGCCAGCTGCTTCGGGGCAAGCAGACGTTTCTTTCACTTCGCAGAATGAAGAGATACCCATACCGATACCACTACCCTTCCCTCGGTTTTGCCTTTTTGGGCCTCCCCAGGGGCCCTCGTCGCCAACGATGGGGTCGCCTCCAAATTCTGATCAGAACATACCCCTGGAGCGGTCCGGGGAGTAATTAGCAGTATTCGTGCCTTGTGGCTTCCCCATCAGTCTTCGCCGGTCTACCACGGCCTGTCCAGCATCTCTCAACCGTCTCGGTCCGCTGAGGCCCCAGCAGGGTCTGCCAGCCTTCGACGCTTCACCTCTGCGGAGATTCCAATGGTAACTTTACCAAGTTTCTTGCTATCATCGAAGAGGCCGTACTCCAAGCGGAAAGCCTGGCGCGTGCGACAGGCATGTTTTTGGCGTTGTGACGTAGAGCTTGAAGCATCGAACGCATCATTGATTCCAGCCTGCCCGCATAGTGCCGATGAGCATGGAATGCGAATCGTCGGGGACGTTGTCGCACTCCTTTTGGGAAGCCCCTCTCAGAAGCAGAACTCCATCGTGGCTCGAGCGTTGTATTCCAAGAGAAGCCGCTTCTCTATCCACGTCGGCAGGCGTCATCGGTATCCTGAGTGCTGTTCACGTCTCTCGAACTCTCGTCTCCTGCCCCCCCCTCTTCTCCTGCTACTGCCCAGCCGTTTCTCAATGCCGTTGCGGCTGCAGTAGTGTTTTCCGGAACAGTTTCACGTGCTGTTCGTGTTATTTGATGGTTGTGGCTGACATGATTGAGGAGGATCCCTCTGCGTCCTCGCAGTGATAATTGAGCGGGGTCATCAACCAATTCATGGTTCGTTCTGCATGCATGCGAGGACCTGACACACATGGCCCATGCATGCGAGGTGCAGCATCAGGTGCTTCGGAGTGTCTTTCAGTGGGCGTGCGGGCTACTTGCCATTATTGGGATGTGTGGGCCGGCGTTCCACAGAAGCCCGATACGGTGTCAGACGTGGGATTGCAGGATGTGTGGGCAGTCCACGAAAGGCGTCGCATCCGAAAGATCGACAGGGGTTGACGTCCCTACTCGGCAGGAGGCGGCGGAAGCTGGCGGCAGTAAAACGGAGTGGCTCCGCTGGCAGGAGCTGGAAGCCGGCGGAGGCAACATGGGGCGATTCCGCCAGTGGAACCTGGCGGGAGCCAGCTGCGACCAACCAAGATCAGGGAAACGTAAGGCTCGAGCACGCCAGAAGTCGGGATCGCCTTCGCCTTTGGACGAGCGCGTCCCCGATTTTGTCGGTCCACTTCTCGTTGGATGTCCGCAGAGAGAGATGGCGTCAAATTTCAGATGGGGTCTCGTCATTTGAAAGAGCGTGTTCTACCGCTGATGGCGGAAAACCGGGGGGGGTCACTACCGGTTCGAACCCCTCCCCCCCCCCCCCTCCGGAAAACCGGGGGGGGTCACTACCGGTTCGAACCCCTCCCCCCCCCCCCCAGTCATCATGAAAAGGGGGGGGGTCACTACCGGTTCGAACCCCCCCCCCCCCTCGAAAACCGAGTGGGGGTGCGGACAGTGGTGGGGACGGTGTTGGTGGGGACAGTGGTGAGGGGACAGCGGGACAGTGGTGGGGACAGTGGGGGGACAGTGGGACAGTGGTGGGGACGGTAGTGGTGGGGACAGTGGTGGGGACAATGGTGGGAACAGGGGGGACAGTGGACAGTGGTGGGAACGGTGGTGGTGGGGACAGTGGTGTGGGGACAGTGGGAATGAGGTGGAAACACTGGGACAGTGGAGGGTACAATGGTGGTGGGGACACTGGTAAAGGCGGTGGCGAGGACGGCGGTGGGACAATGGGACAGAGGTACAGTGGGGACAGTGGTGGGGACAGTGGGGACAGTGGTGGAAACAGTGGGACAGCTCAGTGGGACAGCGGAGGAGTCAGTGGGACAGTGGGGACAGTGGGGATAGGCAGTGGTTGGGTCCGTGGAGACAGTGGGGAGAGTGGAACCGTGGTGGGAACAGTTGTGGGAACAGTGGGGACAGTGCGACAGTGGTGGGGGCATTGGTGGGGACAATAGGGACGGTGGTGGAACCAGTGGGGACATGGTGGTGAGGACAGTGGTGCTGGGAACAACAGTGGGGGATGTGATGCGAGCGGTGGTAGGGACCGGGAGTCGTTTGCTGGCGGTGCGTGGGGGTGGGGGGGGGGTCGAACCGGTAGTGACCCCCCTCCGGTTTTCGAGGTGACCCCCCTCGGTTTTCCGGATCCGGGGCGGGGGGGGGGGGGGGAGGGGTTCGAACCGGTAGTGACCCCCCCCGGTTTTCGAGGGAGGGGGGGGGGGGGGGAGGGGTTAGGAGGGGGGGGGTTTTGCCGGGAGGAGGGGGGTGGGGGAGGGTTCGGCAGGGGGGGGGGGGGGGAAGGATTTTCGGAGGGGGGGGGGGGACCCCCGGGTTCCGGAGGAAAAGGTTGGCAATTTTCCACAGTAAAGCGGCGGTGGATCACGCTCTCTCCGTCATTTTCATGATGACCCCGTCAGTCCAAACCGAGTCCCCGAACCCGAGTCCTACGTCTCCCCGACAAGATGTGGCGTGCATTCTGTAGTCAGGGCTCCTGGATCGCAGCCGCATCTCGAGTCGCGCTTCGGTTGTTCAGCTGGCTCGTCGCCACTGCCCCCGCAAGGCAAACCAGGCATCGATCGGCAAGCAGCTGGGCAGCAAGGGGCAGCGCGTGGACAAGCTCCTGGCGCGTCTCACCATGGTGCCCGCCATGCCCGTTTCGGCCGCCCGTCCGCTTTCCTCTCTTCTTTTTGAACGGGCAGGTGGTCAGGCAGTGTCCGAGAGGTCTTAACGGGCACGTTCACGGACTACTGAGTCTTGAGCGGATAAAGCGGAATATTGAGCCAGATGAGCAAGGGCGGAGAGATATGTAGCGGCATCTGTCAGGGTATACCAAGGCCTATGTTGAATCACATTCTTCAGGTGTTGCAATGAAGCGTGGGGTAGTAAATTGTCGAGTGCACTTGTATTTGACACTCACCCGTGCCAGGGTCCAGTATCGATCTAATCAGTTTCAGCGTCAGGGCATGTCGGGAGCCAAGTGTTGATGCAGGGACATCCGAGTAGACGATTGGCAGGATGGGTGACTTTCGCTCGATCGGTTTGCCTAGCATGTCGCGAGCTTCCGCTACTGAGTTGGGGCGCCAAGTATCGTTTGAAAAACGCACCTGAAGCCCCGAGCAGAAGAGCGACTCCTTCGAATATTTCTCGTCGCGTGGACGTGCCCATTCGGTAAGACGCCCGATGCGTGAAGCACTCTGTTTTGATTAGTTGCCACAGTAGCCACGCGCTCGCTGCTACAACTTAGCTACGCGCTTCCGGAAGGCGTTTGACAGAAGAACCGCGTATTGTCGTGCAGGACTGGATTTCTAAGCCAGAATCGGTTCGATGATCCCGTTTTCTCCTCGTTCACCGGATTTTTTTTTGGGGGGTGATTTGCTCAGTTGAGAAAGAGAGGTGGTTGCGGTCAAAAGCATATCCAGCTGACTGGAGCGCTTGTATGTTGTTCACAACATGTGTTCCAAAGTGCCCGATCGTGTAGAGATAGATCATGGAAGAACTGGTTATCAAACTGCCTGTGGCCGACCCCCCCACAAGGCCTGTGCAACAACGCAGCAAGACAGATACTGAGTGCAAGAACAGCGCAATTCCGACGATCGCTCTAAACTTGGAAAGATCGTGTATTCGATCTTGTTTTCGACCGCGCGGTCAAGGGGAGGTCGAGTTCACGCCCCGCTGCAATTCAGCGAGCGGTTCGAACTGATGCGGGTCGTGAACAGGACCTCGTTCGCGCGGTAAGGAGAAGGAAGAGGAGGAGGAAGAGGAGGAGGAGGAGGAGGAGGACGAGGAGGACGAGGAGGAAAAGAAGCAATCACATTGCCCTCCATGCCTGGCAGGAGCACAGTACGGCAGTGGTAGCAAAAGTTCGGCAACAGGCTGCTGTGAGGATTCCTGGGGACTCGACTTTGCTCCCGCCGACGGTGCTTGGCTCAAGTATTGCTGCCCCCAGGGAAAAAATCGCATACCATCTTTTCAGTGCGGCGGAGCACGTGTTTCGCCCCACGGGCTCCACTGCGCGCGGCTGCCTCCGATAAACCGCTGCCTCCCTGCGATTGCCGCGGCGGCAGCCGGGACAGCCCCGCCGAATCCTAGCGCAGGTGACCCAGGCTTCGACGTGATATCCGAAACCCGAAATGCGTGGAACAAACTGAGGACGAACCGTCTCGCGGAACTGTGCACTTCGAGATACGCGACCAGAAGTTTCAGGTACGTCAGCACGGCGCGCCCGGCCAACGGTGAGGGGCTGAGGTTGTTCCCCCCCCCGACGCAGCGCTACGCTTGGCACCCGAACAGTTAACAAACGAGGTAACCGACCGGATGCAGATGACCTACAACATGACCTACCCGCTACAGCTGGCTAGCGGCCAGTTGCGCTGGAGGAGCAACTCAATCACCAGAAGGAAACCGTTAGAACAGTCCCAAATCAAGCGACCGCCTCGGAGCATGTTGCCAACATCGCGGAGGCCATGCAGTCAGCTGGAAACACCAGGGTTGGAGGATTTGGAAGAGAATCTGCGAGCGAGAACAAGGTAGTAGAGCAGTTGAAAACGTTTCCGGGCGACCAGACAACATTCAAGGAATGGAGCGAAAAGCCTTTGAAAGCACTTGCCCAAGTGAAGTCTGGTTATCGAGCAGTTGAACAAAGATTTGCACAACAAGCTCGAGACCGCGGACGGGGCATTGCCAGCTGACGAAGACGATGATATGATAATCAATCATGATTGGGAGGTTAACGCTGAGCTTATATACCACGGCGTCACATATCAAGGGACAAAAAACCCCGCAGAGGGGAAATCTGAGTTGAACGAGGACGACTATGCCAAATTTGACGAGGACCCCAGGTATCAGTTGAACGGCAGCTTGGAAGGCACGCGCGGAAGTGCCAATGGTCTTCACGAAGGTGACGCATTGTCGGTTTACCAGAAGATGGAAAATTGCAATTCGTCGTTGTTGGAGTACGCTCTCCCGCAAGATGAAGCTGGCAATGAGCCCTGACAGCCCCCGGGAAGGCGAGCGATGTTGCGACCCATCCCGAACAGTGGAGTGTATTGGTCGAGCCCCTGGAGAAGTATGGGTCTGCGTGCCCGCTTCCTCTGGCATTCTGGGCCATTGCGCTCGGGGCCATCGTCGCCCGTGCGGGCGTTTGGCCCGAGTCGCTACATCTTGACGCCGATGCAGAATATCGAATTTTAGAAGGAAAGGAACAGCATGGACGCCGATGCACAACTAGCGACTCCATGGGGGTCGGCCAAGTTAACGACGAAGACATGGGCGATTGGGGCACAGGCGTTGAGGATCCCTGTTCTTATGACGAAAACGGAAACTGGTGGGCTGGGACCGTGGGAGGCGCGAGCGGAACCGGCGGCGAACGCGGGCTGGGCAAAGGGAGAGGCAGAGGTGAAGGCCCACGCGTTGCGCGCGCGCAGGACGCGGGCGCCTTGCCAACGACTGCGCCGCTCGAGGGGATGCGAAAGGCCAAGGAGGCGGAACGGGGATTGCAAGGGGGTCGACGGTCGCCGACGGGAGGAGGCAGGCTGGGGGTGCCCAGGCGCGCAGGTTCCCCGAGGGGCCCGCGCAGGGGGGGCCGCGACGGAGACCCCCCGGGCAATTGCCAGGGAGGCCGAAGCCCAGATTGGAAAATAAGAGGGGGCGAGGTGGACATGTGCCAATCGGCGAGCGAGGGCGCTGCAGAGGCGACGCGCAGGGCCGCGTCGCAGCCCGCTGCCCCGTGGGCGCCAGCGAGGCCGCCCCGGGCCACAGGGGGCAGAGGGGGCCATGGAGAGACCGCGCAGATGTCAGGGCAAACTTTGCCTGGAACTGGACGCTGCGGCGTCGGCGCTGGCGAAGCCGCCGACGCTGGAACCGCGCGGCCCTGGGGCCAGTTGAACGGGGGCGGGGCTCGCGGGCGCAGCGCCGGCAAACAGAGAGCAGGAATAGGGGGGCGAGGTCAAGGATCAAGGGGGGGCAGGCGCCTCATGAGCGCAGCGAGGGCTGCGCCCACCGCGCCAACTGGAACAACCGGATCAGAGGGCGCATCATAAAGAAGCAAAGTCGAATCCAAGAGCGCGCCGAACGGCGGTTGGCGGAGACGGAGGGGCCCGACAAGGAAGTTAGCCAGGCGCCAGCGAGGGGCCAGGAGGGCGGCATTGGAACGCGGGCCCAGGAGCCCCCAGCGTTGGCCCAGGGGCCAGGGGATATTCGCCACCGTGGGCCCAGGGCCCCCCAGCGCGGTTGGGCCTCCGAACGCAGGGGCCCACTTCCACGTTAAACCCGCGGAGGCCTCCAGGGGCGGCAAACGCTGCACGGCAGCTAATGGGTCAGTCGTTAGGGACCCGAGGCGACGAGTTATTCCGAGTATACAAGAACGGAAGCGAAATTCAATCGTCGTGAATTGGAGGCGCATGAAAATGAGACGATGGGGGCAGCGAGCGAGGCGACGTGAAGGACGCGTCGCGTCCGTAGACGGGGAGGCCGGGGCACCCAAGGAGGATGGCGCGTGATCTAAGTCCAACGCAGTAGTGCCCCTGCGCCGGACAATTGGATGGGGGGGGGCCCGCGGGAAGGCGTTCAGGGCGCTGGGAGAAGATGCGCCAGCGGTCTCAGTCGACAACGCACGGTTAAGCGGGAAGAGAAGGAGATGGCGAGTGAGGGCGCAGAGGAAATTCAAGCATCGCCCTTCGCTGCCGGGGCGGCGGCGCCAGGTTCATTCAGAAAGGGCCTGGGCATGTATTGGGCCGAGGTACTTCGCGATAGCCGCGCATAGTGATCCTCAACATGGATGGAAGGTGCCCATTGCGGCGTTCAGGGGAGCCGTTAAAGCCTCGTGCAGCCTCAGGGCAGGAACGGCAGTGCATCCAGTTGGAGACTCCGAGACTATTGCTGAAGTCGGAAGGGCAAACATGATAGTAGCAGGTCGACTCAGGACATCATGAGAGGTTGCGTTGGACGACGCATGCGCTAGTGAATCCAATGCAGGGCATGCCTTTCTATCTTGGTCATCAAGGTCGCCATTTTCCCCCATCGAAAAGTTCGCGGTCTATGCCGGCGGCAAAACTGCCCGCGGAAGGTGCCGGGGGCGGACGCTCAATGTCAGCGTTAGAATGCAAAGAATGCGCCCGTCGCGCACCGGAAGACTCCGCCTAGAAAGGAGGCCGCGAAATCAAAGCCAGGACGGGGAGTGGTGAAATTTTGGGAATGCACGGCGCCAGCAAGGAGCTTATCCTAGGCACCCCAGAGGCGTCGTCATGTCTCGCGAGACCAGGCGCAAAGGGAGTGATGAGGAGTATCTGAATTTGTAGCAGGTTAACAACATTGAAGGCCCCCCTTGGATAGCAGACCAGGGCGCGCTTGCGCTGGAGGTTAGAGCCAGGGCGATCGCGCGAATTGCGGTGCCCAGTAACGGTCTAGCCGCAGATGCCCGGCCGCTAGACGCTCGCGGGGTCGCAGCGAAGAAGCTGGAGCGCATGGCCATGGGGCCCAGGCCGGGCGGCTTTGCATGCAATTCTAGAGTCGAAGGGGGGCGCATCACGAATTATAGAGTGGCTCATCGGACATCGCGACCCAAACGTCCGAGAGAGTCCGGCAGCAACTCTGACCAGCAGTGGGCCCTGAAGTCTCCGACGGGGCAAGGGCGGGAAGGATCCATCAATCGGCAATTGGGCCGTTGAAGACGAGTTCGCCATTCGGCAGCCTTGTGAACCTGGCGCCAGCGCGCGCGCGCCGGAAAAAATCATGGCGGTCAAGGCCCCCGAGCGATTCGGCAATGAGGGACCACTGCATGCAATCCATGAGGAACGCGGCGACATTGAGAACATCAACCAACGATTCAAAAGATGAAGGTGCAAGGGGGTCAGGGGGGCCCTGGGCTGGGTCGACTGCGTTTCGCGTCACCTCTGGAAGAGGTGCCGATGAACGACTAATTAGCGTTACCCCGCCAGGGTCAACAGCGGCAAAGTTGCCGGGCGAAGAGGTGCAGCAAGACAATTCAGCAGTCGAAGAAGGCGAGGAGCCCGATGACGAGCACATAGAAGCAGATGCGCCCGAGCGCGCATGGCATGTGTGAAAAAGTATGCCATGGACATTGACGAAGTATGCGCCAGCTTAATCATGTTGGGGTTTGACGCAGATGCCCTGCAGTGGCTGCTAAGCCCTGGTTTGGATGTCTTCAAACATGTCAACGTAATCAGGGGGGCCGGAAGATCATGCAGCTGGCGCCAACACAACGCGCTTTCGCATGCTTCGGATGTTTACCCGCCAGTTCAAATCACCGGCATGGAGGGCAACAGAATCATGCCGCGATTAGTTTTTGGATCTGATTACGCGCGATGGAGTTCGAGACTCGTGGGGTTTGAACTGCGAGGTGGCACGAGCAAGCGCCGATGCGCTCATGGAGATCAGAGCTGTGGCGCCATTGAGTAGCAAGTCCAATGCTTGCAGCCTTCAGCAGTTCACGGGCCTTCAATTCGGAATGGCTTGGGCTGGAAAAGACGAGGGCCATTCTTGACTGCGGGAATGAACTCTTCAAGTTCGCGCTGGAAATGTGGCAGGCTCAAAGAAGCAATGCGTGGAGCTTTCTGTTTGAACACCCTGCGGGGGCCTCAAGTTGGACCGCGTCGCCAACTCGGGAAATTGTACAGCGAGAGGGCGCGCGCGCGCTCGGCGGCGACCGGCGCCGTCGCGGCCCGACGCTGGCCGCGGAAGGAGAGGGGCGCGAATTCAGAAGCCCATTCGGTTCATGACTCGCGGCCCCAACATCGGACGGGCCCCCTGTGCGAATCGTCGACGTCGGCGCCGACGCAGCGAGTTTTCTGCGAAAGGCCGAACGAGGAGATCATAGTTTACTTGGGCCGACAATGTCGAGCTATCCACGATGGCCTGTTTAACCGGATAAGGGCCCGCGGCTCGCAGCAACGAGAGCGAGCCAGACGCAATCACGAAAATCAAAGAGGTCATTTATGAACAGGGCGAAAGTAGGAATGGCCCCCGTGCGAACTTGGACCAGGAAAGATCATGTCGAACTGCGGTTGATGGCCTCGGAATGCTCGGGCCCGACGCCGGGGCAATGCCCGCGCAGAGTTGCCCGGGGCCAGGGCGTTGGGCAACCGTTTGTAGACAGGGGGGTCAGTGAGATCACGGGAGAAGGGAAGGGGGGGAAGTTTTCAACATGTGCACGCGGTATTGTTATTATTTCCACTTGCAAGGTTGCGCGGGACGCCCAGCCACGCCAATGGATTGTCGAATTGCGGCGGCACCGTGGCTGGTCGAGAGTTCTAGCGACCTGCGAGGCATGTGGAAGCGTTACTGAAGGACGGCCAGTTTCCATGGAAGACATATACGCGGCTCACAGCGACGCATCAGAGCGAGCTCCATCCAGAATTCACGGTAAAAGCTTCGGAGGGAGAGATGGAGCAATTCAGGGAACACGAGCTGCATGAGAAAGTGAAGGCGGTGGAAGGCTGTGCCGTTGCCGGCAATGCGCCCGTAGGCACGAGGTGGATTCGTCGATATCAACGACGGCGACGGGCCCAATCTTGAGTGCCGACCTTGGCTGGTGGCTCGGCAGCTCAAGTAAAAATCGTATGACAGCAACATATTTGCAGCCGCGATTCCATTGGAAGCCCACCCCGCATTTGTTGTGTCCATGCCAGTTACCGGGAGAATCGGGCATCACCGACAGCAGCCTCGTAAAAGACCCAAGCTGGGATTTACGGCTGTTAAGCGGGGGGTGCGTTTGCGCCGCGGCCAATGCGGGCGTTTTCATCAGGTTACTCACTGGAGTCAACGCGCGGCGTGCGTGAAAGACTGTTGGAGTCAACGCACGGCACCCGGGACACCGCCGCCAGCACTTGCGAAGGTTGTCGGTTTGGCACGTGGCAGTGGTTTTGACAACGGGAAGCCTCACCATGTTTGGTGGAATTTATGACACGGTGCGCTTGGCTCACCGCTCATGGAGACAATTTCGCTTCACTGGGCAACTCTATTGATTTTGATTGGTTCGACAGCGAATGGAAAACGAAATTCGCAGTGAACACCGGGGGCAGACTCTGGCCAGGACCAAAATGGTTGAAGTCAATCAGGATTCCCAGCCGAACTGTGGAATGGGATCAGGATAGGTCATGGCGTGAGGCTGATCAGAGGCATGCTGAGAGATTCGTTGGGGAGGCATGCCTGGATCAGTACAAACTGAGATGTGATATACCAGGCCACAAGCAGCCTTTCGAAGGGGAGGGTGGGAAGCCCCCCACTGAGCCACGCAATGAAGATCGGCCAAGCACACAACCGCGTGGATATGCAGTTCTCAATCAAGGAGCTCGCGCGCTCTATGTCAGCCCCAAACCAAGGAGCATGGAACAGCCTTATAATGCTAGGCGCGTACCAAAAAAAAAACACGAGTGGTGTCGGCATCGGTCATTTTATGTAGAACATCCCAGGAGTTAACCGCATGGGCTGATACCGACCAGTCCGGTTGCAATAAAACACATAAGCCAGCAAGCGAAACAGCAACGTGGGGAACACATGTGATACAGTCGCGGGGCTCAACTCAACGCGTAGTGGCGTTCTCTCTTGGAGAAGCAGAACTCTGCGGAGTGGTGCAATGCGGCTTGGCCGCGTCAGGGCTACAAGCAGTTCAGATTGCAGCATTTTGTGAACAAGCGACGCCTGCACAGCCGTTGCCAGTGCTAGAAGGCGAGAGCTAGGGGACACCAGGCACATCGAGTGTGTGTTTTCGGTTTCGCAGTGATCAGTGATCAGAGTTGGAACCCATGGGAACCTTGCGAACCTTGCATACGCTTTGATTAAAATGCGTGGGCAGCGGCATCATGTCCATGCAAATGCGAGGTACCAGTCAACACATGGTTAAAGCAAGGCACGAATTGGCGCTCGCTGCGGAGTGTTAGTTTCATGCGTAGTTGTGATACTGTCGCCGGCTCTTCTGGCGGACAGTTGAGCTCAGGATCCGTTTTTGATCCAGCTGCTCGTCTATGCGGTCACACCACCAAATGTTTCAACCATCCTGCATGCCGTGGTGCTTGCGACACTGACTAATCGTGTATCGCGTACCGTGAGCCCCTGCACGTTTGCACCCAAATCGTTACCGGCTTCTGCTTGCACAATTTTTGCCTTCAACCATTTTGCGCGTTTAGATCTGCCACAGGGCATTTCTTTTTTTCGGTATCACAGTCGTAATGGTTTTGTGCTTTGCCTTTTCCGCATGCCTATACCAGCCCATTTTTATACTCAATCGTCTGCTGTTGTGTGTCAGTGCACCTTCCCAGCATGTAATCCGGCAGGCACCGGCCGAGGGGGGGTGTAAGAACGTTGTTCTCCATGAGTTGCACAGTATGGCAGTGACAGCGGGAGTTTCAGCAGCAGGTTGATGTTAGGGAACGTTGGGAACTCGATGTTGCTCCCGCCGACCGCGTTTGGCTCAAGCATCGCCTCCTCCAGGAGAAAAGGTTCAGGAGAGGGAGAACATGAAGACAAGTCGGAGACGGGCATACTACAGGTTGTCTTGGGCCCTCCTGGGGGTTTTGTCGGGGCCTCCAGATGGGTTCATAGGGCCTGTCATGGCCTCTTAGGGCCCATTGGGCGATCATGGGGTCCCGTTGGCCTTTGCGGGGCCCTTCCTCGGGGCCACATCGGTTGTCTTGGAGCTGTTTTGGAGGCCTCTTTGGGCCGTGTTGAGCGATCCGCCGTTGCCCCATGAGCCTTGCCCGCAAATACTTTGAAGCCCATGCGGTGAAGCGTCGAATCACTGGGCACAAACGCAGTGCCGCGCTCGTACTCGGACGCGCCTCGTCTCCACAACCGTGCGGCTTTCACACGGGACACGGAGGTTGCCCGAGTTTCACAAACTGACTCCGACTTTCCGTACAGAACTGCCCGGAGCCTCACACATTCATTCCATATGGGATGCCCTCCTTGCCAGATGCCAGGGTGCCCCCATCATGTCCAGATTGGGAGGGCCTTGCGGCCAGTGCCGCCGATATTGCATGCCAGAATTGAAAGGAAATGAGTCAGGTGGGTGAGGAGGATAAGGAGAAATTGTCAATGTAGATCGTTCGTTTCGTATATAACTAGTTGTCCAGTCAGTCCAGAGGTCCATCGGTAGTTCCAGGTTGTCGTTATTTGGGATCCTCCCACGCCCATTGGCCAAGAGATGCCAGCCCCTTCCGAGCCCCGTGCCAGTGGAGCAACAAAAACGGGACAAGGCCATTGCAGTCCTGCTGAAGTCCATCGGGCTCCATGTCCCCAATAACAAGCTGCAGGAGTTGAAGCTGTTCTTGGCGAAGACAAGGAATCTGATTGTGTTGTCGCTACGATTGCGGCGGCGTGTTCCCCGATTTGCGTCAGTCGCAGAAAGGGGGAGAGTTTGGGTGATCAAGATACACACAGTCTTGCGCAGCTGGCTTTGCGAGACACTTTCGTTGAGAGTCGTAGCAGATGCCAGGTAGAACTTTGGGGTAGACCTTGTTGGCGAGTGGAACGAGCACCAAGTGCAGGAGCCATACGTCAACCCTACATGATGTATTAGTTCGTGTTCTGCCGTTGTTGTGTTGTTTCTTCCCTCCAGTGTCCCCTCACGATTCATGAGTCCTCCCTCCAGGGTGTGCGAGGGGATCTCGTAAAGATTACGAACTAGAATTAAACATCCAATGTGTTCATCGACTGCGCCGAGACCAGTCATCACTTGCGCGCGAATGGCTTCAATGCTTCTGCCAACGTCCCCAGCATGCGCGTGCTGAAGCCGACCCCTCCAGTCCTCGACCAATGAGCTCCAATATCGAATGTGTCCTGGTTTGCACATTTTGAGTTGAGAGCCTCGCTGTAGCTCAGCAGATGGTGGAATACACAGCACTGTTGAACACCACCACGAGATGATGGCGAGGGGCGAAAGAATATGTGGAGTGATAGCGCCAGCTACATTCGGTGGGCGAGAAAACTGTATATGGAGAGGGTGTTGGAGAAGGCGTGTTCGGTTGACAGCGGGCCGAGCAGCGGATAACCGAGAGAGAAGATACAAGAGAGAGGGAGAGAGACCGAGAGAGAGAGAGAGAGACAGAAAGACCTCGCACACAAGAAGCACGAGGGCATTGCAGGGGCAATTGGGTGAAGAGGAGGAGGAGGAGGAGGAGGAGGAGGAGGAGAAGAGAGGGAGGGAGGGAGAGAGAGAGAGAGAGAGAGGGGCGGGGAAGCAGGCAGGGAGAGCGATGAAGCGCAAACGAATGGACGGAGGAAGAGTGATATGGCCGACGAGACACAGCAGGGGGAGGAGTAGGGAAACGGTTGAGACGAGGAAGAGTGGAGAGGAATGCAGGACGTTGAGGGACACGGGCGGGGGAGGAGGAGGTAAACGAGGCAGGATGAGGATTAAGGGGAAGGGGGGTGGTGGAGGCAGAGGGCGATGGAGGGGGTCAAGGGAGGGAGAAGGAATAGGGCTGGACTCCTCGGGGTGGGCATGGGAGTGTGGGATCTGTCACCACGGGCAGGGGCTGAGACCGAAAATGAGGCTCTGACGGGGCGACGCGGGCATTGCGCGGAAGTCGGGGAAGTGCGCGGGCAGGGCGAGAGGCAAGCCATTCGGGAAGCGATGCATCGACCCGAATCAGAAACCGGGCGTTGTTCTTGCCTTCTCCCTCACCTGCACCATTCCTCTTCCCTGTCCCCTCCTCCTTCCTCCGCTGTGTGGCCATTGGCGCGGAACGGCCATGTCCTGCCAATTGGGGCGGGCTCTCCATGTTCGCCAATTCCGCTGCGTTTTTGTTTGGGGGCGGCCCAGGGACTGCGCTGCTTGGGCGCGCAGAGGGGAATCACTTTAAGGCTGACTTGTGAAGCCGCGATTAGCAACAGAGCTTGTCACGGTTTCGGTGCGCTGGCGTTGGTTCCGTTTGTGTTGCCATCCTCCCTCCTCCTCCTCCTCCGCCTCGTCTTCTGTTCCACGAGAGTTTGCGCAACAATCGTGTGTGCAGCCGATCGGCCACGCGGCTGGGACAACATATGCTTGCTTTTAGGAGCCGAATTTCGTGACATTGTCTCTTCTCTTCTTCCTCCCCCTCCGTCTCTTCGCACTGCGACTCCTCAGGCCGAGGGTGGATGCATTGCGGATTTTGGCACGTCATCTTTCTCCCTCATCCTCCCTCCGCCGCTCGTTTGTGTTTTTAAGGCACATGTTTGCGTGGCAGCGCCCTTTTTTCCGTTGGCGTTACCCCCCGCCTGGTGCCCCGCCTCTCTCACTCTGAACCTCTGCCGCCGCTGCCGAGAGGCCGTCGGACTCGACCTTGCCTTCCCGCAACAAGGATGAGCACGCCGCCATGTGGTCTCGCAGTCCCGCGTCTGTCACAGCACTGAGCCCTTCGTTACGCGGGATGACGGTCGCAACGCCGCTGATATCGAATGTATGTTTGCGGGCGCTGTAAGCGAGTTGCGTTTCGGGGGAGTATTTACTTTCGGAGCTCGTAGGCGGTTGTCGTTTTCCCTGCCAAGAGAAAGCAAGCATGGCCGCAAACAGTGCGAGACTGTTTGCGTATCAGGCGCATGCTTCTATGGAAGTGTTGAGACCTCATCTTTATTATGCTCTCCCACAAGAAATGGCGTGTCCACCACTCTTACGGGCAGCTGTCGCAAGAGTGGCTTTGATAGACTGACAGTTCCTTCCCAATCGGCTCGCCATCGTTATCGTCAGTTCCATACTCATCATCATCACCCCCTTCCCCCCGCCCCTCCTCTTCCATTTTCAGATCCAGGTGCGTTCAGCAAGTTTCGCAGACGGGCCGCGCGCCCAAAGGCTCGGGGGAGTGTGTCGGGGCGCCCAGGGATAGGAGGAAGGGGTTTGGGGGCGCCCAAAGATCTTCGAGAGATGGGGCTTCGGGGCTTCTTGGGCCGCCCAGCAGCCATCTTGGGCTGTCTTGGAGGCGTTTTTGGGCAGTGTTGGAAGTATCGTGGGCCATCTTGGCGTCGGGGCCCGCCGGATTTCTCTACGCACGCCGGCGCCGGTTTCGACGCAAGCCAGCGACAACGGCGTTCTCCTCCCTCCCTCCTCCTCCCTCCTCCCTCCTCCTCCGCCCCTCTCCAACCCTCCTCCCTCCCTCCTCCCTCACTCCTCCCTCCCCCTCCTCCTCCTCCTTCCTCTTCCCTCCCTCCCTCCTCCCGCCCCCTCCCTCCCTCCCTCCCTCCCTCCCTCCTCCCTCCTCCCTCCTCCCTCCTCCCCCTCCTCCTCCTCCTCCTCCCCTCCTCCTCCTCCCTCCTCCCTCCCTCCCTCCCTCCATCCTGGCGATGTGGTTTTCGACGCACGCCGGCGCCGTCGAAAAACTGCCCGGGGCCCGTCACATTTTTTTCCGGCCTCAGTTGAGGGCTCCGTCGGATTGTTTTCCGGCCTGATTTTCGACGGGGCGCCGTCGAAAAACTGCCCGGGGCCCGTCACATTTTTTTCCGGCCTCAGTTGAGGGCTCCGTCGGATTGTTTTCCGGCCTGATTTGGGGTCGCCGTCGTCTTTGAATGCCCCATTGCACCGACAGCATGTCGCAAAACTTGGTTGTTTTTCTTTCCGCCTTCGTTTCCCTGTGAAAACACAAGGGATTCTTTCGACGCAAGTTTTTCGACATCGTTTTTCGACGTCCGTTTTGCGACCCTTCTGGAGGGCCCTTCTTGGAACCTTCTTGGGGCTGTCTTTGCGCTGCCGGGCCCTACGGACGCCCCACGGAACCCCGCGGCGCCCTACGGAGCCCTACGGCGCCCTAAGACGCCCTACGAAGCCCTACAGAGCCCACAATGCCCTACGGAGCCCTACGGTGCCCTACGGAGCCGCACGACGCCCTACGGAACCATACGGGGCCGCACGGCTTCTTGCTTGCGACGCCGCAGGAAGCCACGCGGAGCATTGCGACCCCATCACGGAAGCCTACGGCGCCCCGCCGAGCCCTACGACGCCCTGCGGGGACCTACAGCGCCCCACGACGCCCCAAGAAGCCCTAGGAGCCCATCCGGCGCCCTACGGAGCCCTGCGGATCCCTACGGGGCCCTACGATGCCCCACGGCACCCTAAGGAGCCCTACGGTGCCCCACGACGGCCAACGGAGCCCGACAGAGCCTTACGGAGCCCTGCGACGCCCCATCGAGCACCACGGAGCCCCACGGCGCCCTACGGACCCCCACGGTTGCCCTGCAGGGTTCCGTAGGGCGTCCGCAAGGCAGCGGGCAGGCGGACTGGGCGCACGGGGCTCCCCCAACACATTTCGTGCGCCCCCGCACGCTGTAGCCGCCTTGCTTGCCAATGCCTCGTTCGGCGCGGCCCAGCCAGGTATTCCGAGGCCCGCGGCTGTGGCGCGCCACGCGTGGCTCCGCGCTATAGCGCCTCGCGGGGACGGCGCCTAGACATTGTTGCTTCACGGGGCCTCGCTTTTGAAAAAATGACTCGTGGGCGTCGTCGACACACGATGACCCTGCTGCATACTCAGCACACCACGTCTTGCCATTCCGCTCCACAACATATTCCTCGAATGGTTTCCCAGATCGTTTCTCTTGTGCCTCCCGAGCACAATCGCTTGGCGCTGTCCACGGACAGCGCAGAGAGGTCGGGGGGGCAGAAAATCAGCCAGCCGAGAGACCAACCAACCAACCAACCAACCAACCGAACGGCAGGGCAGCCTTGGAGATCTGGACCGCTCGCGGTTGGAATTTCTGACCCCCTTATCCGGGCCAGAGGTCGGCTTGGTGGTCTGTTTAGATTTCCTTGCTGGGTCCCTGTGATCCCATGGGGGGGGCGGAGGAGCAGGATGAATCCCCGATGATAGATCGTTTAGAAGTAAGTCATGCGACCGCACCACTCTTGGGGCATTTTCTTGGCGCCGTCGTGGTGCGCGGTTGCTTATGGGTGCCATGTGCGACAGCTTGCATGTATGGCGCGTGTGCCGCGAGCCGATTGTCCAACAAAAAGAGCCACATTTTGTTGTAAGTGTGCGCGGTGCACTCGGAGTCGCGTGCAGTTGTTGGCGTTTGCATCGCGCCTCCCGTAACCCGCAGGCCCCACGAAATAACGATGCGTTGTTCTCTTGAATTCGGTGGTCTTGGGCCATGTGCGGCGGTCGGCGTTTTTTTTTGCGTTCTCCCCACAGGTTGCGGGCTTCCCCAAACAGCCGCATTCTGTTTGCCTTGTGCGTGGTATTTGTCCTGAGCGCGTTCGCGGTCGCCCAGGCTCTTGTCATTTCCATGGGGTTTGCCTGGTTCACTGCTCA